GAACTCCAGGCAGTTATAACAAATGAATGTAATAATTGATTCACCATGGGGTTGTTTACTAAAACTTCAGAGTGCAAAATCTGCTTGGGCAGCTGTGCATGGTGGCCAATCAGCTTGTTCAATTAAGCTTTGACAAAAAAAAACCTGAAAACCGAATAGTTTTTATGCAGAGCTGCACTAGATTTAGAACTCTCCAGTTTTGGTAAATCAACCCCCATGAGATAAATATTTTTTTATAGGAGAACTGAGCAGAGTGAGAGAGTACAGATCTTCTTCACCAGAGCACCTTGGTATAGTGATAATCTCATACCTCCTAACTGTCCCTGATTTCGAGGGACTGTTCTTGATTTGGAACAAAGTCCCTCTGTCCTCATTTAACCCTCATTTTGGTCTGATCTATATAGTTGTATAACAGTAATGGTGTGAACCTCCTGCGCTCCCAAGTGTATCAACTAAAAAACAAACAAAAAACACACCTGGAGAAGCTGCTAACATTAAATCATATACCAGTGATTGTGTAAAATAAATACAATAAAGAATGTTGCGCTACTCCTTAAGATATATGTACACATAAATAATAAGTGATGTGTAATCACAAAATTGCATCAATTTAAATAAAAATAATAAAAAGTGAAAGTGATATCAATTAATATTAATTATTAATTTGTGCCCATGATTCAATAAATCTATAAAAATAAATTCATATAATGGAAACAAGTAAGAAACACATTTAAATATATACATAAATATATATATAATACCGTGCATATAAAATCACACGTGCTGGGGTGTTCCCACTACACGAGAGGCACGTGTGATTTTATATGCACGGTATTATATATATATATTTATGTATATATTTAAATGTGTTTCTTACTTGTTTCCATTATATGAATTTATTTTTATAGATTTAATGAATCATGGGCACAAATTAATAATTAATATTAATTGATATCACTTTCACTTTTTATTATTTTTATTTAAATTGATGCAATTTTGTGATTACACATCACTTATTATTTATGTGTACATATATCTTAAGGAGTAGCGCAACATTCTTTATTGTATTTATATACTTGTATAAAAAAATGCACTTTTTTTTCTTTCAAAAAGTGTTTCCCAGTGCTAAACCTTTCAGCCAATTTCTAAATTGTTGCTCTTGTAAACTTCAAAAGTCAGTATAAAAGAATAGTAGTGGTTTAAAGTGGGTTTAACAAATCCATATTTTTTTAATAATTCTTCTTAAGGGGGCATGGAAGGGGTATGTGTCCTATGCCTACATACATTTGCTAATAGGTGTCCCTCATTCCCATCTCAAAAAGTTGGGAGGTATGTAATTTTGCCCTTTATTCACGTAAATCATATGCATCACAATTGGGACCTCGCAGGGTACATTTTTTTTAAGGCAGAGGGAAGGTAGATTTTGCATTGAAAAAGAAATCCTATGAAGTCTACATTTACAGGAGACATTTCACAGCATGCAAAGGACACTACAGGCATTTGTTGTAGTTCTCAGACTTCCATTACTCTGATGCTATCACTATCCATACCTTGTATCATGTTGTGTAAACTTTGTCCTTCCTCTAATACCATCTTCTCTTCCTTTCTTAACATTCCACAAGAAGGTGTAAATAGCCATGTCAGAAAAGGGGATATTAGATACTTCCTTAGCTAATCCATTATAAACAGATTAACTTGTTATACAAAACACATTGAAGACATCTTAAACTGGACAAACATTTTGTGATTCACTACTCTAGAGGATATATGTTCAGAAAGACAAATTCTCCTTCAAATGTCAAAGCAGCCGGGTTTATATTTTAAAGGAGAAGTATAGCCAGGTTTATATTTTAAAAGGAGAAGTATAGCCAAAGTTCTTTTGGCTGTACTTCTATGGATCATAGGAGTTCATTTCTGCACTCCTTTGATCCATTGTAGCCAACAGAGGGCTGAAGTCGCTGTCAGCTGATGTCGCAAAGCCTGTCCAGGCTCTGAAAAGATCCCAACCATATGGTCAAGATCCGCCAAAAAACCTGGAATGGCACTTGGCTCAGTCTCTCAGCAATCTGTCGAGAGCCTAAGCCGGTTCTGGTGACAATCAGGGATTTCCCTCTTTGGAGGGATTTCCTATCACTCTTTATTTTGGCTATGGGACAGGAAATGAAGGGAAATTTCCCTAATAGGACATAGATGGCAAAAATAAAACTGACAAGGGTTATAACCAACCTTTACTCAGCCAAAATGGTAAAACAAGTTTAGTTTAGTTCTACTTTAAGCTTCTCCAGGGAACATAGTTTTAGGCTTCTCCAGAAAGTATTAAAAAGTGTACTAAATAATTGTATTATGTATGTACACTGGACTATCAGCTTTCAGATACAATGACCTTTTTAATGACATGATGGGGTTTATTTACTAAAGCTGGAAAGTCCAAAATCAGACTCCCTTCTGCATAGAAACCAATCAGCTTCTAACCTCAGCTTGTTCAATGAAGCTTTGGCAATGAAACCTGGAAGCTGATTGGTTTCATTGCAGAAGGGAGTCTGATTTTGGACTCTCCAGCTTTAGTAAATAAACCCCGATATGTCAGAAGACTAAAGGCACAGTTACTGGAATCCCAACTTTCTATAGGATGCCCTCCCAGACATGCAAATAAAAATGCCTGCAGTATTGTCGGAGTGCAGCACAAAGCCGACCCTCTGAGTAGCTATAGACTTGTTTACAGGTTATAAACATTACTAGCTGAATCAGAGAATTTCATGTCTATGTGCTCAAAGGGCCTTTTCTCTCTCTGAGGGTAATGACTGATTGGATAGGTTAGAAATGCCTTGCAATTTCTCCCCCCAAGATACTCAGGCTGTCATAATAAGCCTGATTGGACAAAGATTATATCTTGGAATATACAGTATTCCTGCACTTTTTTGTTTATTTTACTTGATGCTTTTTTTGTTACCATTTTGTTTAACCCATATGCCAATTTGTTACCAATTTTTTTACAGTGCCTTGAAAATATATTTATACCCCTTGAAATTTTCCACATTTTGTCATGTTACAACCAAAAACGTAAATGTATTTTATTGGGATTTTTGAGCTATTTTGCAAAGAAGAATGGGCAAAAATGTCACTATCTAGATGTGCAAGCTGGTAGAGACATACCCAAAAAGACTTGCAGCTGTAATTGCAGCGAAAAGTGGTTTTACAAAGTATTGGCTCATTGAAGCTGAATACAAATGCACGCCACACTTTTCACATATTTATTTGTAAAAAAATTTGAAAACCATTTATCATTTTCCTTCTACTCCACAATTATGTGCCACTTTGTGCCATTTACGTTTTTGGTTGTAACATGACAAAATGTGGAAAATTTTCAAGGAGTATGAATACTTTTCTTTTTCTTTTTTTTTTCTGTCATGGAGGATAATTGTAAATTTTAAAAGGGAAAAAAAAAGTAATATTCTTTGAATATTATTAATAGAAGGAGTAGGAAAGAAAACAATCAGGGCTGAGGGGGAGTTTTAGAGGCTGGGGAGGTATGGGGTTGGAGGGAGGGGATGGGAGAGGGGGGAAAAAGGACACCAAGAATAAAATTAATATTTGATATATGGATAGATAAATATAAGTGTAATATTAACATGGTTTTATTGGATTATGTATGTGATAAATGGTGTTTTTTTGAAAATTTATAATAAAATATTTGAATAATGAATACTTTTCTAATGCACTATAAATCCTCTTGTATCACTTTGTCACCATTTTTATACAGCCTGTATTCCTATTTGTTACAATTTTTATATAGTCTATATGCCACTTTACCATTTTTATATAGCTCGTATGCCTCTTTGTTATATTTTTGTTTTTTTACCATTTCTATAAAACACCTTTTTATAGTCTGTATATCACTTTACTATTTTGTTCAGCCCAATTTCACTTTTTTACCAATGTTCTATAACCCATAAGCCACTTTGTACCATTTCTCTATAGTCCACATGCTACTTGGTTATTATTATATAAGATTTATATAGTGCCAACAGTTTGGGCAGTACAGTTCTAATTCAATATAATACAATGGGAATTAGAGGGCCCTGCTGGTTAGAGTTTACAATCTAAAAGAAAGGGTCAAGTGATATAAAAGGTAATAACCATGTTGGATGAGCTTACTATTTTGTAATGCATTAACCTTTTGCTGTACCTGTTCCTACTGATATGTGAATCTGATAACGTGAATTCAGGGAGAGACTATAGACATAAAACATTGCCAGATGTAAAACACATGCAGACAGTTACCGCTTTGTACTAGGGTGGTGTGTAAGTAGTCTACCCTATGACTGCATTATTAGTCATACAATGACCAGAACCTTGATGTTCAGCCTCTGTAAACAGCTGAGATAAAGCAAATAGCCATGCCTGTCTCTGCATTACTTCTCCAGTACTTAACACTATTCACATTGTGCACATTACACACATTCCACCTGCCACTTTATGCTCTTAAGATAGGCCTGGACCTCCAAAGTGCTGATGTTCAATTTTTTGTGAAAGTTCATGGACTCCTCATTAGACATTTCTGCTTTTCATTATGGAATATGGTCCTCACCATAACCTTTTAAGTGTTCCCACACAAATAAGATATAACCCTTGGCCACCTACTATGGTTGTTCCACAGCAAGTCCTGTGGTTATTGTGTTTTGTGTCCTCATGTGTAATCGGCTTAGCAGTTATCCTGGTGTGTTTGTCTCCACCAGCAGTGTAGTATTGCAGTGTAGGTGCAATAGTGTATGGGGGCTCAAATACTGTATATGGTCTGGTACTGAAAGGCTGGGATGGAAGATGTGGTGGTTTTAGGAGGACCTCATCGGTGTTTAAATGTGATCTTCATATATCGGTTTAGTGCTATCACTTGTACAGTACATTTGGTAACTTTAGTGCTATACATCTGGATCAGGCTATCTATGCTTATAAAGCAGAATAGATTGTGCAAGCTAATACCTTGTTTGTTTTTTTTTTCTAGTTCTAGACCAGCTGTTGCCAGAATTGAATGTGCTACTAAAGCTTCTGGACCATGAATTCCTTAGTGCCACCACAAGAGAAAAAAACAAAGCGCGGTATGCAGCATCTTGCGACAGCTACAGCCTGCTCCAGGTATGAGTGATTTTGCGTCCCAAATGGACACGTCAGATTTGTTCTTTAAAAAAACACTATTTACAAATGCGGCTGCAAGGGATTTTTGTTTTTGACATTTTTTTTAAATATCACATGTATACTCTTAGATTGTAAGCTCCAAGGAGCAGCACCCTCCTATCCCTCTTGTATTGAACTGTATTGTTGCTGTATTGTCTCCCGTTACATTGTAAAGCACAGAGCAAACTGTTGGCGCTATATAAATCCTGTATTATTATAATAATAATAATAATAATACTAAATAACAGAATCCTAAAGCATATCTGCTGGACCCGCACTTGTTAGGTAGATGCATAGTATATAGATGTCACAAAAATCTAGCAAAATGTATGCACCTGAGTTGGCCAATCTTGTTCCTGCTCACAATTTGGAACACAAGACCTAGTATGTGTTTAAGTAGGGATCACTGAGATGTATAAATTGAAGATCTATCTAAAAGTAGACTTTTGCCAAAATAAAGTTGTGTTAACACAGGGGAGATGAACACAGAGCTATAAAAATACTTTTCATAGAGAAAAAGCAAGCCTTGAAATTCTGATCAGTGTGTATGGCCATCCCTGGTTCGCAGAAGTCAGTGGCTGCAGTCGATCAGTGTATTCTAACAATGTGACCTCATTTGTGTGGATGGAGGTTAGCTTTTTTTTTTTTCGTTCAGCCCTAGAAACGAACTAGACTATATGTATTAGTCAGTTAGGGTTTAGAATATAGCCGTTTTCCGAAATTCGAATTTTGAAAAGAATAGAATAGACCAGAATAGAATAAAAAATAAAGGAATAGAAAATAAAAGGAGAAATAGAATATAGCTGTCTTTCGAAATATGAATTTTGAATAGCATAGAACATAACAGAAAAGAATAGAATAAAATATAATAGAAAAGAACAGAATAGAAAATGATAGAAAATAAAGGAATAGAATAGAAAATGAACAGAATACAGCCATCTTCCGAAAATCAAATTTCCAATAGAATAGAGTAAAATTAGAATAGAACCTACTAGAATAAAACAGCATATAATAGAAGAGAAAAGAAAAGAGGAATAGAATAGAAAGGAGCAGAATTGAAAATAGAATAAAATAGGAATAATATAGCCGTCTTCTGAAATTTAGAATATAATTAATTTAGCTGTCTTCCGAATTTTTAAATTCAAATAGAATATAGCCGTCTTCCAAAATTTGAATTTCGAAAAAAAGAACACAATATAACAGAATAGAGCAGCCTACAGCAACATAGTATAGAAAATAAAAGAATAGAACAGAAAATAAAGCAATAGAATTAAATATATAATTGATAGCTAATTAAATTAAATAAAAATTAGATTTTCAAATAGAATAGAACCAGTTATTCTGCACATAGAATTTGGATAGATTTTATATTTTCAATTTGAATTCATTCTGATCCATGGGACAAAACTTAATCTAGTTTAATTTCATTTATTATATTTCAACCAAACAAATTTTGTTAGGAATGCAACGAAACAAAATTACTAACTTAATGAACTGATCCAAAACTAATTTTGTTTTTCATTCTGCATATGTCTAGTCACTGTATACACTTTCCTTTTATAACATCAGTGTTGTTATAACAATGTAAATACCAGTTATATTTGACAACCCAATATAAACTTACTTGAAAGGTCTACTTTCATGTTGTGAGTTCTGCTGTCCACTGGCCATCTGTTTCCACAGCTTCATGGATTCCCTGCATGCATTGCAGCTTTTCCTTATGCTTTTCACTTTCTAAGGACTACATATCCCATGGTACCTTGCTGCCTGCAAGCAGTGATTCCTGTACTGACCCCACTTCCTGAAACTCCTCCTCTCAGCACCTTGGTAGTGCCTACTCACAGGGCATAGTGAACACATGTCATAGACTTTAAGAAAGTAAACTTCAAGATCATTCAAATTAGTAGAATCAGACTAGAAATAATCGAAATACAATGCGGAAATAAATATTTGTTTTTAAATTTTCACCAAATATACATTTTGAAGGGGAATTGAACTCTGAAAGTTTTTGTTGTTTCAAAAAAAAAAAAAAAAAGTAGGTGAGGAGGAAATACTACCACTGACCAGTACTGCCTGTCACTGCAGCTGATCTTTACCCCATTACTGACTTCCATACCATGTTCTACACTGTATCTATATGTTGAGGTCACCATCTTGGTATAGATAGGGCTTCCATGTGTCAGTCACCTGCAAAGAGATCAATGACAGGACAGTAATGATACTACCAAATCTCACGCCATACTCCTGAAGCTGGTGATAGATGGATCGTTGTTCTTTTTTTTTTGATCAGCCAGCGGGCTGATAAAAAAAGAATAAACAGATTCCTCCATCTTAACATTCAAAGTGGATAAAATTCTCCCCCCTGTGCTATTGTATTCGGACAGCAGGGATTCCTTTTGCTGTAGAATATACTAAGCAGCGCTGCAGCTGATTTGGCTGCAGTGCTGATCCAAGGAAAATTTTCCAACATTTCTGTTCGGGAAAAAGTGGATCATTAGATCAAATGGCCATGGATAGACATTAGTTAAATCTCATACTGCAGATGTGCAGCAATAAGACTGTAGGCACAGAAGTGCCCAGGCACACTCGCATACCAAGATTTGCTATTTTTCAGGAGGAATTCAAGACAAGCAGTAAAAATGTCAAGGTACTGTTCACACAATTAACATTTTTTAATTTTCCCTGTAACATAGCAGATCTTCAGAATTCAACTTTTGGGCCTCATGCACACAGGATGTTTTTTTAAACAGTGTTTTGGAAACAAAAACAAAAAAAGTCTGGCACTTGTAAAAGTGTGTAACGCGTTTTAGGTGCGTTTAGCTGCGTCAAGTGTTTGGGCGGTGATTCATGTCATTGGCCAGAATAAATCATTTATTCTTGCTATTGAAATAAATTAACGCTCAAGCACTAAACGTACCTATTGTTAACCCGCTTTTAGGCTACGTTCACACTAGCCTTGTGTGCAGGCAGCAGAGAGGCGTTTGGGAAGCGTTTTTACCGCTTCCCAAACGCCTCTGCCAATTCTGCACATTACAGCACATGGTGCTGTTCTAACAGGAGCGTTTGCGTCGCGTCGCGGCAAAACGGACGCCTCTGGTCAAGTCAGGAGGCTTTGAAGCCTCCTATTCTCGTCTATGGTGCCACTCCGCAAACGCCCGGCCGGCGTTTGCGGTGCGTTTGCGACGCGGTTGCGGGGCGTTTGCGGAGCGGTAACACCACTCAAATGCATTATAGGCGTTTGTGGGGCGTTATTAACGCTCGGCAAACGCCTAGCAACCGCCGCTAAACCGCGCATGCGGCGTTTGCGGAGCGTTTGCCGAGCGTTAAAAACGCTCCGCAAACACCGGACCAACGCTTGCCAAACGCTATAGGGGCGTTTGGCAAGTGTTGGCAAAACAGCCTAGTATGAACGAGCCCTTAGACGCACCAAACATTTTTTTTTTTTTTTGCCAAAACTCTGCTACTCCTAGACACACCGGCAGTGGGTTTATTTCCTGCCCCTAAACTCTCCTGCTACTAAACGCTGCTAAAAGTCTATTTGTGTATGGACACATAGGATAACATGCAGGGGAGTTTATAGGCAGGAAAACAAACCTGCCAAACACCCCTAGGAGCAGCTGTAAAAATGTCCAGTGTGCATGAGGCCTTACCATTGAAATGTATACTTACAGTATGTAATGATTTGTTCCTTTCTTTTTATTGTGCAGGAGATGACCTGGATTTCCAGTATATGAACACTGCTGCCTATCACAATGGCACCAGCTTTGTGGAGTCCCTCTTTGAGGAGTTTGGTATGTTTGTCCTTGTTGATTAACCATTTAGATGTCTGTTTATTTTGTTTATGACAGTACATGGTGAGTGTAAAGTGAGAAGAGAGGTTAGGTGTTAAGAGCTCATTTGACCATTGTCAAATATTGTACAGCTTTTCCTTTCAATGGTGGTAAAATGACTGCGCCTGAGAAATGGAATTTGTTTTTCTGTGACCCTTCACACCAAAGAATTGTGAGAAATGGCAATGGAATAAAATCCCTGCTTACCACTTTTTTAAACATATCATTATAGTCTATGGTAATTGTTTCAGAATGCTTAAAAACAATTGTTATAGCCCAATGAGCATTTCAGTGCCCAACCTCACAAAGACCTGTTGTTGTTAGAAAATGATGTCACAGGAAATTCTATACATTGCATGTTGAATTGGCCTTTTCAAGTGCTTTTGTGGGAATTTTGGGCTTGTGTATTCTGTGGCAATGTTTAACGCTTATTAGTTAACACTTAGTACAAGTATTTTCTAACATGAATTGTTTGAATTCACCCAGATCTTTAAAGTTTTATTATAATGCAGATTACCTCCATTCTAAGGTATATCTAAAACTAACTTGATAAGCCAGATTCCATGCTAGGTGGCCAATGTCATAGAACATGGGTGGTAGAGTCTCTGGGACTCAATCTACCCCATACCAACTCTAAACATAACACAGCATTTTATATGTAAATGTCTACTTCAGAACAGCAGTTTCCATCTCTTGCCCACTGAATGGGGTACACTCTAACAAAATTCTTATACTCGCCAAGGCAGGCCATACATTGTGCAACTATCTTTCCTTCAACCATGGGTTGAAGAAAAGAAAATTGCTTGATTCTGACAGCAGGGAGCACAAGGAGCTTTTACAACAAGAAGAATACAGTGATCACTGCTGGCGGCTATAGCCACTGGCAGTGATTGCATGAAAAAAAAACACGATATGCTGGTTGTACAATCAGCCTGCCCATAGGTAGATCAAAATTTGGATGATTTCTGCTAAATCTGCTAAATTTCAATCCCTCTATGCCGGGCTTAAAATGGTTGTAAAGGTACAGATTTATTTTAAAAATAACAAACAGGTCATACTTGCGCCGTGCAATGGTTTTCTACAGAGCAGCCCCGATCCTCCTCTTCTCAGGTGCTCCCCACTGCTAAATGCCCCCAGACAGAACAAGCAGCTTGTTCTGGGGGAACTCATGCATGCTCGCTCCTGAGCCACCTCTGTCTATCTATGAGGCACACAAAGCATGGCTGGGCCCCACCCCCTGCTCCCTCCACACTGACTGTGATTGACAGCAGAGGGAACCAATGGCAGAGTCCTGGAGAGCTTCTGCTCTGTTTACATTACTGAGATTGAGTATAAGGTGGGGCTAACTGGGGAGTTGTACACTGAAGGTTTTTTTACCTTCATGCATAGAATGCATGCAGTTAAAAAAAAAAAAAAAACCTTCAGCTTGTAGAACCACTTTAAATGTAGCCCACTTGGTGGAAGGTTTTCATGGCATTCCCTATCATGGCACAGAGGGTGCCAATTTCTCCATAGGGTTAGTTTTCTACAATGTATGTTACAGAAGATCCTCATGAATGTTGTGCCAACTTATTTTTTTTCTCCATTTTAACAAACAATATGCATTCATATGTTGTCTTTTAATGTTGGCTCAATATAATGTTTTGTTTTAGCAGGACACCACAATATATTACCGGATATTGTGGGGTAATGTTTGTGGTCATATAACATACAGATTGGATTTCTACAGAGTTTACAGGATAGGAGTTCAACCGGGAAAAACAGATGAAACCCTCCAGTCTACTACATGGGGGGTAGCATTACTGTTGCTCACAAGTAGTAAAGGATAAATTCATACAAAACTAACAACCCAGTTTTAGATGGGCTCTAAATGGTTCAATCCTTTGCCGACTTCTGCATTCTCTTGCAGGGTCTAAAGTGTATCTGAAACAATGAAAAATTCATAATATTTTGTAGCTTAGCAGTTCTTCGATATAGTGGATTTATTAGTTTTCTTTTTTTTTTCTTTATTTATTTTTACTTTGTGATCTTGCCAATAATGCACTTCTGTTCTAGGGTGACAGCGCTCACTCACTGTGTTCTAGGGTGACATTGCTCACTAGAGGTGCGCTGTTGTCACCCTTGGACAGGAATCAAATTAGGACTACAAAACACCTCCCCTTTCCATATCACAATAACATGAGGAAGAAGGGGTGTTCTGTAGTCCACAGACAATGCTAGAACATTAGATAGAACAATGCTAACTGATAATGGTCAGCTGAGGTTTCAATAGTAAAATCTTTCAATAGTATATTCTTACAGACCAAAAGGGAACAAACCGGAGACATTTATTAAGTGTTTATACACACTTTAAATCTTGCGTGACATTCCAGCTCCTGGTAAGGTCTTTAAAAGGTTGTTACACTGGGTACACACGAGTTGGAAATCGGCCAAAACGGTCAATTCGGTAGGAATCTGCCGAGTTTCAGCCCCGTTTACAGCTCCTTGTCCAACAAAAGCTGGTCTCACGAGCTGCTTCTCTTAAAAGGGCATACTGGAAGACTAGCATCTGACTGGCATTGAATCAGTGTTGGCAGCCAATGGCCATAAGCGCTGATCAGTGTGTCACAGGTGTGGGGGGGCTGGTAGGAGGAATAGAAGATTCCGTTATTAGCTGAAGGCAGGATCGGCTTCCCAGAAGAGAGAGGTTTTCAGAGACCGCCTAAAAGTGGGCAGAGTAGGCGATAGTCTGATAGATTGGGGTAGGGAGTTCCAGAGGATGGGGGAGAATCTGGAGAAGTCCTGGAGACGAGCATGGGTGGAGGAGACGAGGGAGCTAGAGAGCAGGAAGTCATACGAGGAGCGGAGAGGACCGTTTGCGTGAGATTTGGAGACAAGATCGGTGATGTTATGGGGGGCAGAGTTATAAATGGCTTTATTTGTTATTGTTAATGTTTTTGAATTTTATTCGTTGGGCAATGGGAAGCCAGTGGAGGGATTGGCAAAGAGGGTTGGCAGATATGGAACGGTTAGTAAGGTGGATGAGTCTGGCAGCAGCATTCATGATAGACTGAAGAGAGGATAGCTTGCGATGAGGTAGGCCATTGAGTAGGGAGTTACAATAGTCAAGGTGAGCAATAACCAGGAATGTCGATCCATGTATGGGGAAGGCGGTTGCACAGAGGTCGATCTACCAATTGACTTCCGTACAACCGCCCTTCTGGGAACAATTGATTGGATTGGTGCCGTCTGCTATAGCTGGCAATGCTGATCAGTGTATTTGGACGGTGGGGAAGTCTCCCCACAGTCATAATACAATAGCTCAGTGGGGGGATTCCCCATCCACATCCTCCATCCCGCTGGTTAAGCAAAAAAAAAAGTATGGGCAGCTTTATGCAGTTGGATTTTTGTGTAACTAATATAATTTACCAAAACCCAGAAAATATATTCTGACTCCCCAACCCCCATTTTGGGAGGCTCCAGCTTTTACCCTTTTGCCCTAAGCTTTGTTAATAATGCCTAATATGTCTCTAGCCTCTATCAGTGTAGGTTTGACATGACCTTTAAAGCATATCTAAACTCAAAGCTAAAATGTCACAAACTGCAGCTTACCAGTCCTTTAGAAGTGATGGCTGCATTCATTTTTTTGTAGACTTCTTTTTCTTTATTTATTTTCACGTGATAATCCTGTAGATAACATTTTCTGTCCCGTGTACCAGTGCTCACTCCTTCACTGTATCTATACACAGAGCCCTGGTTGCCACCCAGGCTGTACTTCAAAAGTGTCTGCCTTCGCTTATCTCCAATTACATGCAGGGTGACAGGATTAGTAGTTTACTCAAGAAAAGTAACCTTGTGTTGCCTCCAGCACACAGGAAATGATGGGAACCAAGTGTTTCTGGCAAGATCGTTAGTTACTTTGTGAACTTGCTAAAAAATGTTCTTAGCCTGAAATATGAAAACAATGTGACAACCACATCTAAGGACCCGAAAGCTGCAATATATTAAAATTTTGCTCTTGGGTTTAGATAATTTTATTCCTTCTAGTTCTTTTCAGGAGAGAGGTATTATCACCAATAAGAACACAGCCCTATTTTAGAAACTTTACAATTGACCACCCAATACAATTTTGCTTTAGTGACACTTGGTAACCTCAGCAGCGTTATTGTGCCTGAGTCATCTTGTTAAATCTTTATTGGAAACTTTGTGATTTTGTCTTTCACTCAATGGTAAATACAATGAATGGTCATGTTTTCTATGAAGTGTTATGGGAGGCTTTCGGGACTGGCATTAGCCCAGTGGTACGCAATTAAAGGTTATAAACAATGTGTTGTTTCCACGTCATGAAGCCATTTCTGAGGTAAGGTGCTAATTGTTCATTTTTCCGGGATTTGTTCTTCAGATTGTGACCTGCAGGAATTACGAGACATGCATGATGAATACAAAGACACAGAGAGCCAATCTTCTCCGCCTCCACCACCACCATGTGCCCCTCCACCACCATTGCCTACCACTCCCCCACCAGAAGATTACTATGAGGAGGCTGTGCCACTTGGGCCAGGAAAGTCCACTGAGTATATAACATCTCGCAGTAAGCAGTGTTTGTCTTTTTCATCTATAAGTGTAGTCTACTGTAGCATTCAACTCAATGACCATAAATGACTTCCAATATGTATTTACCTATTGTAAAGCTATTCATAAAAATGGAAGGTGGTTGGAAATGTCATCTGGATCTTGACCAGACCTGGCCATAACAGATGTGTCCAGTCCAATAGCTCCCATAATGATTGAGGGAAAACAATGACTGAATACACTGACAGATGTACCCTAATTTGTGGACCCTGCATACGTGTGCCTTTCCTTCTGGAGCTCTTATTGTGTGTGAATCTGTGCTATAGATGAAAGGAATCCTGTGCTGGTGGATTATAGCAGCTATTTTCTGTTTAGGGCTCATGCACACAGGACTTTTTAAAAAAGCTCATCCTCTTGGCAGCAGTGTTTTGTCAAAATGTCTAATGCTTGTACAAGCGTTTAGGCACGTTTACAAGCGCTTGGGCGTTAATTCATTTAATTTGGCCAGAATTATAATTTATTCTGGTCATTGAAATGAAATAATGCTCAGGTGCTAAACACACCTAACATTAATATGCTTTTACACATGTCAAGCGTTTTTTTTTCTGCCAAAATGCTGCTGTTCCTGGACACACTAGCCTTGTTTTTTTTTCCTGCTGGTTAACGCCTACTGCATTTAAAACTGTGATTTAAACTTACTAGATCCCTGTCATTCTAATCCAGTAGCTGTTTTCTTAAGCTCTGATCTGAATACATGCCGATTAAAAATTCTAACATTATTTTGATTTCACGGATCTCCATGCATTTTTAGATCTGTGTCTCAAAAGGTATTAAAGACAGAGACACTCAAACAATTGCACTGTAGTATATTCAGAATGATGGCAGCAATGACGGGCTCCTTATTCTTTTAGGTAAAGGTGTATTTTAAAAATGGAAGTTTTATGGGGGGAAAGACAGATTTGGAGGATAAGACCTCCCCCCAACCAGTAGTTTTGTTAAGGGTAGGGTAGATGATAGATCTCTGTTAGCATTACTTATGCATGCACATTATTATCAGTTCAGGATATGACATTTCCCCTTGTTTTATCCCTTTAACCATGCTGCAAGTACAGAAAAATAACTGTTGGATGTGCCAGAAATAAAGAGTACTCCTATCCAGGACATGACATGGCCAGAAGCTTTGTTTTTAAGTCATTTAAACACCCTGACACATTGTCGAAAGCTGGCCATAGATGGATCACATCTTGGCTGTTTCAGCAGGGACTGGCCGAGATTCAATGTATGGGCAGGGTGGTTGTACTGAAGTCAATCCATCGATCTGTTTCAGTATAACCAGCCTGTTGGATTTTGGCTATAGCTGCCTGCCGTGATCATTGTGTTTTGCCAGCAGGGAAGGCTCCTCGTCGGCAGAATACAATAAGGCTGCAGAAGGGATTCCCCCATCAACAGTCAGTAGTGGAAGGAAAGAAAATTGCATAATCTGTGGGCTGCTTAAGACCACATTTTTCATTTGGACATGCTGTCTAGGTTTGTCAGGGGTGCTGTCACCTCCTTACCACCCTATTGTAAAAAAAACAGAAGGTGGATGTCTGTTTCTGAAGTGCCGTTTGTAATCAGAACTTTATAAATCACCCTTTGGCAGCCAGTGTGCTAGTTAATGACTGTGAAATGAGCCATCTTTGGGCGAATCCAAGTGGCTCTGCACCATGTAATTGCTGTGATGACCAATCACAGACATCACATACTGTATGTAAACAGTACTCCTGGTGCATGCTACAACCATTACATGTTTTGGTGTGCTCCACATGCTGCTATTAGTTCCACCCCCTTCAGTGCCTGGAGGGCACAGTTTGGCATTTTCCCCCTGGGCGATAGGGGATCTTGTCCCAGCACTCCTCCTCTTTTCCTTTTTGATTTGGCCAAATACCACATTTTTGGCTCTGAATTCCTAAGCACATATTGTAATCCATCCATCAGAAATAAAGTAGTCAGGGCTGACATGAAACACAGACCTCTCACATGATTTCTGGTAAAATCAGTTGTTATTTTTTGCACTTATTAGGTATAGCAAGTTATAACAAAAACATTTAACAATCTATTTTAGCAGACCAAAAGTGGAACAATAGGAGAATTTCTTGTTAGGGTTTACATACAATGTATTTTTCCACTTCCCTGGTGTCCCTTGTCAATGCCTGTAGTCCATTTACTTGTCACAGATGTTGGATTATTACCCATTCCAGCCAATTAGGGAATTGTTTAACATAAGTGCAGACAGGGTGAAGCAGAAATACAGGGGCTGTGGAAGCAGGTGCATGGGATATTTACACATGTGCTTCACTTATCACCTATCCACCAGATACACTTGTGGAGTTTTCCTGTTAACATTTGTACAAAATGTGTGTTTTATTAGAATATGATGAGTGATTTACTCGATGCCAACTGTTGATATTTCAATAGTTTATTTTCTGATGTATTTCCTATTTTACACAGACAGTTCCAGTCCACCCAATTCCATAGAAGATGGATATTATGAAGAAGCAGATAATAATTACCCGCTTACCCAAATAAATGGAGAGCAGAAACATTCATGTAAGTGCAGTTTTTGAATGCAGGCACTAACCAGTCTTCAAAATACAATTTTCTGCAACTAGAACCTAGTATACATGATCAGAAAATTGTACAAAAAATACCGCTTACGAAGCGATTGTTCAATAATCTGATCGTTTAGTACACAGATTTCATCTGAAAGGGACAAGCACGAAAAATGTTTTCCTATTACATGACATTTTTCTTCTAAATGCAAATTGATTAAATACTTGTGAGCCACTAGAAGTTTTCTTACTTTTAGAGCAATTAATTCCGTGTGTAAAAATATTTATAAATAATAAATTATGTGAACTGATAATTAATTAATTACGTGCTTAACTAGATATTAGATCGCCATGGTACTTATTACACCCTCTCCAGGTGTATGGATGTTAACTTTATATATCAATATTGTACCGCGCTCCAATATATATAACTCTGAGTGCTATGATAAATTATAAATAGCTGGAGTGTAACACCAATAATTCAATAATATTCTAAATCCATAATACTTGAATCCATAATTGATATAAATATATAAATAAATAAAAAAAAAGAATCAATTAATATTTTTAAATGAGTGCAAAAAACTAATAAAAAGTGAAAAAATATATAAATGACAAAGTGAAATATGAAAAATAAAATAAAATGAAAAAAATGAAAAAATTTGAAAAAATTAAAATGGGAATGACAGTTCAGTTCATACGAATTGAGATGGTATTGTAGTTCAATCTAATCTGCGTAGTAGGTCAATGTTCATGGCATGAACCTCTCTCTCCTTCCTCCTCTCCTTTCTCCTCAATACAGCTTTCTCAATAAGAACTTTCTCCTCTAGCTGCTTGACTTATTCCTCCATAGCCGATACATACAGAGAAGGGGAAAAAGAAACATAGTGTCTTATCCTGGGTAACAATTGTTTATTGAGCTTCTGATCTCCCACTCACATGTAAAAGTATAAGTAAAAGTAGCGCTTTGTATATAATGACGTCACCGTATCCAAATCCCCCCAGAGGAAGCCTGCAAACAGCCTTGCAGGTGTGTGTGTGTTCACACACACCTCGATATACTCGCCGTTCCTCTGTGGATGCGTGATGACGTCACCCCAGGATAAGACACTATGTTTCCCCTCCCCTACGCGTTACGCTACAGGGGACTCGTAGCTTCCTCTGGGGATGTAGTGAACTTGTAAATGTAGTCATGTGTATGTGTCATCCTTAGTAAGTATAGTAATATTCCCCCATACTAAGCATAGTAATTCATCCCTGTTCTATATAGTAATTCATCCCCCATAGTAATTCATCCCCATATTTTGAGTAATTCATCCCCCATAGTAATTCATCCCCCATATAGTAAAACCTTCATCCCCCATATAGTAATTCATCCCCCATATAGTAATTCATCCCCCCATATAGTAATTCATCCCCCATAGTAATTCATCCCCCATATAGTAATTCATCCTCCCTATAGTAATTCATCCCCCTATAGTAATTCATTCCCCATATTAATTCATCCCCCATATTAAGTCCCCAAGTCCCCCCTGTGTCAATTCACTTACCTTTGCTCCGCGCGTTCCTCTCGCCGTGTTCCCGCGCCGTTCCGGTCTTCAGGGCGGACTGTGAGAGGAGCCTAGCTCCCCTCACGTTCGTCACGCTGCCCCGCCTACACACATCCTGACAGCATCACGCTCCGCGGGCCGGATTAAAAGGTCCGCCGGGCCGTATACGGCCCGCGGGCCGTAGTTTGCCTATTGCTGGTCTAGGGCCTAGATTTTTTAGGACTCTCCCTGTCCTGAAGGCACAACAAGGAGCCCAAATGATGGAAAGGGTTGGACAGGAGATCCCACTGGGCAGTTTCGCTCAGCTCATGTTCAGATGACAGCTGTAGAATTTTAGATCTTAGGGATCCCTCTTCTTCTGTACTGAAGAGAAAGTTAATTTGAATCCCTCTAGCTGAGACATACATGGTAATAAAAACCCCATAGAGGCTCTAACCATTCTCCACACTAATCAAAGCTAGAATAAAACTTTGGCTGGAGTTCAATTTTAACCTGGCATACTTTCTAAGTGCTGACTGATAGTTGAAGCTGTTGTTAGCAGCATATTGTCTGATGGGCTTCGCATAGCAAGAATTTACAAGTTAAGGGAATCCTGTTATGTACCTATATCCCAGCCTTGGTCAATATAGAAAGCTTACTGTATACCTGAGTGCATTAACCCATAACCACCGATCATAATATACTCGGATGAAGTTGGATCAGAACAAGAGGGACTTTGATAGGTTTTTGCACTTAAGAATAAGCACTCTTTTATACAAGGCCGAAGCATTACATGTCTGTTAAATTGTATGCTATTAAATGAGGTTTGCAATCTGTAAATCAAATTCAGCTATTCTCTGACCGAATCTAGCCGCACACAGTACAATGTTATTGTACAATATTTTTTTAGATTAATGCAGGCCATAGACGGGTCGTTTTTTATCGGCCGAATGTTCGTCCGTACGCAAAATCGGACGATAATCACGCCGTTAGTGGGGCCAGCTCGTCAGCTGTTTTTTGCTGATCTCCTCATTTATTTTTATTGGTCATGCTGGAAAATCCGTGAAAAACGGACGTTTTTCGTGGCCATGGGTGGCAGCATCGGCAACGGGGCCGACCGATTTTTCGTTTATCGGCTGAAAAATCGGCCGATAAATGGCCCGTTTATGGTCTGTGCGCTCAGAGCCACACATCCACCCCTGCACACCTGTCACTCAGATTGCCTACCATAGGCTGCTGTTTGCACTCAGCTCCGCTGTGCTCCAGGCACATGGTTTCTGCACACTGCAGGCCTTGGCGCCTGTGTAAATGAGCGCTTAGATATGCTGTAAATTTTTTTCACTATTCCTGTCACTGACACCAATGATAGGGCACTATTCCTCCCACTAGCACCAATGATGGAGCACTATTCCTCTCATTGACATCAACGAAAGTGTACAATTCCTTCTACTGACACCAGCAATGGGGCAGAATTCCCTCCATTGATACCAATGATGGGGCACTATTCCTCCCAGTGACCCCAATGATGGGGCACTATACCTCCCACTGACACCAAAGATAGGGCATTGTTTCCTCTCACTAGACGCCAGACCATTTTTCTGCTCCCACTGGCCATAGCCTGCCCCCCCTAAAGTCTCAAGGAAAACAAACTGGCCCTTTGTTTAAAAAGTTTGGACCCCACTGGTATAGAGTAACAGCTATTAAAACTAAAATGAATGACAACAGCAAATAATTTTGAGTTTTTCACAATTATCGTGAGAATACAGTTTTGGTCCTGGTTGGAGATGCGTTTTTGGGCTTCTTCTGAACTTGCCTGTATCTGAACTTCAAAGTCACGCTCTTGTTTTAGTCCAATCATCTGCAGGCTGGGTCAGTTACCAACCCGCAACACATATAAATGCACAATAAATTTGGGCATGTGTGAACATGTCAATATAAGGGCCCTAATGTAACCAGTATCCCGCCCCTTTCTTACTGTGCTACCAGGCAGTGAATAACCGGGCCTGCAGATGATAGAATTAAAAAAAGAGCAGGACTTAGGTGAATTCTGAGAAGGCTCAAGATCATCCCTAACCAGCATCAAGACTGTATTCTAGAGGAGGATAGTGGAAACTTCTACTATTTCTACTATAATTCTTCATTTTTCTGTTGTCATTCATTTTAATCAACAGTTATTACTCTTTATACAGTACATATAACAGCATAGAGTAAAACAGGGGCTTGGTTCTCATATTTTGCAATGATATTGTAGAATGTTTGTATGCCCAAGTTAATCTTTTGGTCAATCATTTTTACATGCTCATATTGTTTGTTACAAAATGGAAGATTGCATTTTCCTCTCTATGAATCAGAACCGTTTTATTAACCACTTTCCATCTGCCCTATAGCAGAAGTACTGCTACAGGGCAGCACGAGGGTGCGCAAAATCATGTGTATATTGGGCATGGGATGTTGGGGGAACTGTTTCTAAACAAAATAGTTCTCTCCCCTGTCAGCTCTTGCACATTGAGCTAAGCCATGCAAAGCAGTGTGTTTACAGTGAAGCACAAACACACAGCCCCACAGTAAAAAACACACAGCACTGCAGCTAACCCTTTGATCAACCCACATGTTAACCCCTTCCTGCCCAGTGCCATTAGTACAGTATCAGTGCTTTTTATTATCACTGATCACTTTATTGATGTCACTGGGGATGTCCGTGACACCAAGTCAGTTCCCTCCAGTGTCAGAATGCCCGCCACAGTCCTGCTATAAGTCGCTGATTGCCACCATTACTAGTACAAATAAAAAATAAAATACAAAAATCCCAGTATATATACTGCCATTTGTAAATGCTATAAATTTCACGTAAACCAATTAATTTACACGTATTGGGATTTTTTTTTAGCAAAGACGTAGGAAAATACATTTTGACCTAAATTTATGAGGAAATTTAGATTTTTTTTTTTTTTTTTGGGACATGTTTAATAGCAAAAAGTCCAAAATATTGTTTTTTTTCTCCACATTGTCAGTCTTTTTTCTTTTTTAATAGCGCACAAAATTAAAAACACACAGGCGATCAAATACCACCAAAAGAAAGCTCTATTCATGGGAAAAAAAGGACTTCAATTTCATTTGGGTGCAATGTTGCATGGCCGCACAATTGGCAGTTAAATTAAAGCAGCACTGTAGTGCAAAAAATGGCCTGGTCAGGAAGGGGGGGGTTAATCCTCTGGAGGGCAAGTGGTTAATATAAATGTATTATACTGTTTAAGGTTGTAATTACCAAAGGTGTGAATTTTGTCATACTTTGTGAGGCTTATGACCTGTTTTGTGTGAATGTGACTTTTGGCTAAGGAAGGTTTGAGACATCTGTAGTGTTTTTGGTCACCTATATATGGTCACCCTCTTAGGGTGAGTCTGCTGAGAGGCAATTCTAGTTCTTAGTTGATATATAAGGCTTGAACATTTAATTTATGGTTCTTTTTCTGCTTAAATTAGAAGTGTGTGATAAACCCTGAGTTGTGTTCCTTTGTATGCAGATAATGAGTCTGATGGTCTGAGCAGCTCTTATGAGTGATATGATGAGAGGCTATTCTAGTTCTTAGTTGATATATAAGGCTTGAGCATTTTAATTTTTGATTATTTTTCTGCTTCTATCAGAAGTGTGTAATAAACCCTGAGTTGTGTTCCTTTGTATGCAGATAATGAGTCTGATGGTCTGAGTAGCTCTTATGAGTGATATGATGAGAGGCTATTCTAGTTCTTAGTTGATATATAAGGCTTGAGCATTTTAATTTTTGATTATTTTTCTGCTTCTATCAGAAGTGTGTAATAAACCCTGAGTTGTGTTCCTTTGTATGCAGATAATGAGTCTGATGGTCTGAGCAGCTCTTATGAGTCCTATGATGAGGAAGATGAAGAGGGCAAAGCTCAGCGTCAGATGCACCAATGGCCTTCCCAAGAAGCCTCCCTGCACCTGGTCCGGGACAGCAGAATCTGTGCATTTCTTCTGCGCAAGAAGCGCTTTGGCCAGTGGGCCAAACAGCTAACCCTAATCAGAGACAACAAGCTACTGGTAAGAGAAATAACTTTTTTACATGGTAAGATCTTTAGAAACAAGCAGTGAAAAATACCATCCTAGAGTTAGACACTGACCGAATTAAACAAATACATTGACACTGCAGAGGGAAGGAAGGAAGAAAATATTTTCTGTTACGTTGTACAGAATCCAAACAGCCTGAGCGCCAGAGAGGATTTCCTGCATCTACGCTTCTGTGACCACTGTGAATGGAGCCGGAGTGTGTGAACAAGGTGTTTTGGAAGGGAGAGCTGGAAAGCAGTGAAAAAACATAACCGACCCATCAGCTGTCACAGTCTGGCACACCACAAATGAAAAGTGCTGTTTGCATTGGCTCAGCTCTAGTATCTGTCAGTGTGTTTTGTGTTTGGCGCTCAAGTAGAACTCACTAAGTGTCACAAGCTCACCTCTGAACTTTGGTCTGATGGATATGAATTATATTATAACACTCTTTTGTAGTGCTAAATATATATATCAAAGGTCCACTTGCATTTACCTGGAAAAACCATGTAAATCAGGAAAGTCAGATTGAAGTCAAAACTCTGTATACTTGTTCCAGGCCAGTGACTGAGGAAGACATTGGATCAGCCAGGAAAGTAGCAGGTCGGAAAGGGTCGCTTCCATAATATTTCACTATAGGTTTTATTTAATGCTGAACTATAACCACCCCCAATAAAATTATATTTGTAACTCTGAAGTCAGATCACGTTACGAAGTATAATTACTTCCTGTGAATTGCAAGGTTTTGTACTTATTTGAAATCAGTTGATGTATTCCATATTGACAGCCTATTCAGGTTCAGCAGGGGAATGTACGGGGTTGGACAAAAATATGGAAACACTACATGATTTTCAGGTGTGAAACATGCGGAAGTGATGAGACACCTAGCTAACTTTTGTCATTCACTGTACTTGCTGCTAGTCATGTTAGAGCTTACTGAGCTTCAAAGAGGGCAAATTGTTGGTGCCCGCTTAGCTGGTGCCTCGATGACTGAAGTTTCCAATTTATTTGCCATGTCGCGAGGTGCACTATTAAAAGGTCATGACCGCATATACAGTTTCTAAGAAAACGTTGTCTGATAAGCATAAGCGCGGTCAATATGGTCAACAGACCAAAAGAGACATAAGGACATTGTACAGGATTGTGACCTGGAATAAGAAAACTGCTGTAAAAGTGACTGCAGAGCTCAATCTGAGTCTTCCACAGCCCGTGTCCACAAAAACTGGGAACTCCATTCACGGGCGATCTACAATTGCCAAACAACTAGTGAGCAATATTAATGCTTAGAAGAGGAGAGAGTGGTGCAACACCCATAAACTGTGTACTATCGATCAATGGAAGACTGTAATATGGTCTGATGAATCAAATTTCACACTGTTCTCAAGTACTGGACGTGTTTACCATGTGGTGAACACTATCCCAAGCTTACGACTAGGGCTGTCTTGTGCCAATGGTAAAGCATGGTGGTGGCGCACAATCATAGTTTGGGCAGCCATATCTTGGTATTCTGCAGGCCCCATCATCATCTTGAAAGGTAGAGTCATTGCCAGCGATTATGTACAAATGTAGGCAGACCATGTGCACCCCATGGTGCAGACAATTTTTCCAATGACAGGGCCGTTAACCAAGACGATAATGCTCCAATTCACACAATTGGTGTTGTCAAATCGTTGTATGACGAGCATGCAGATGAAGTTTTGCACCTTCCCTGGGCTCTGCAGTCCCCGGACCTCAATATCATGGGGCCACTATGGTCAATTTTGGAGAGCAATGTTTGGGCTCTTTTCCACCTCCAACATCTCTGAAAGATGTTTTGCATGAAGAGTAGTATCAGATTCCATTATCCACCATCCAAGACTTATATTTGTCAATTCCCAGGAGAATGCAGGCCATCTTGGATGATGCCAAAGGCATCCAACACCATATTGGGTAACGATTTTGTTCTTTTACCTAGTGATTACATAATTTTGTCCAACCCCTGTCACGGTCCCTTTGTGCATCCACCCCATCCCCCCACCTTCCAAATCTATTAACCACAGCTGCCTTACATTTACAGCCTGACAGCTGATATTGTTGAACAGAAACTAAAGCTAGAAAAAGATAAAGAATTAAGAGAGACTTTAACTAAAAAAAAACCAAAAACACAAAACATTATTCCTGAACCATCTAGATGGCTAGGTCAGTCTCAGGACTCCTACAGGGCTCCATAGGTCTTGGCAGCATAGGGGCACAGAGAGAACAAGAATATAGCGGCTCGTTTGGGGACAATGGAAAAAGGAAGCTCCAAGGAGGACATTTTTAAAAATCAAGTTCATGTGATTTATGTTATTTTTATCTGATTTAGGGAAAAAACTGACTATCAGTTTAAAACTAGAGCTTCACATTCACAACTCTCTGACCTATTTGGTGGTTTGTCAGGCCAATTGCCACACAAAACAAAATTCCCAGCTATCTCTACTTCATATTTAAGTGGTTATCTCTTTTTCCTAGGAAATGAACATAGATAGTACCATGGAACTTTGGTCAGTGGGCTTACACTAGATTTGTGCATTTTAACAATTTAAGGTTATAACTGATGTTGTAGTTCTGCAGAGTTGCTCTCTGGTGTTATGAATGTTATCTATGCCATCTTACTAATGTCAACTAATAAATTGATCTTCTCTAGTGTTACAAGAGCTCTAAGGACCAGCATCCTCACTTGGAAATGCCACTGCCTCTGTGTAACGTCAGCTACGTCCCAAAAGATGGCCGACGTAAGAAGCACGAGCTACGTTTCTGTCTTCCCAACTCAGAGCTACTTGTGTTGGCGTGTCAGAGCCGGGAGCAGGCTGAAGAATGGATGAGGGTGAGAGTCGGAATTCTTTTCATTAGTATTATGAATTTTCCTGGTACAAACTATACACAGATGGCATTTACTTACAATGAAATGCTGGGATATTATGTGTGGTTAAAGTGCAGTGTATGTAGCAGTGGGGTTTTGCCAGCTGTAATAAACTGAGATTGTATTTGGTGAGAGGACAGCTAAATATTACGCCTGGGAAAAAAGAACTGCCCAACACAAACATTTGTCTATAATTCTGGAGACAAAAACTGCTCCACCTATATGCGTTATATCCCATTTTTAATAAGATTCTCTTACAAGATCGGGTGTTTAATCAGCGATGTAGAGGGTCTTCATATACCATAAATCAGATATAAGAAACATTTGTTTGATCACAATTTGACCTTTAAAATCCTGTCCCTGTGTGGATTTCCTCCTACACTCCAAAGACATGATGGTAGGTTATTTGGCTCCTATTAAAATTGTCCCTAGTATGTGTATGAATGTGAGTTAGGCTACGTTCACATTAGCTTTATCAGCAGGCGTCAGGCGTTTGTGGTGCGGTTGAGAGGCGGTTGCAGAGCGCTAATACCATTTAACTTCATTATAGGCGTTTGTGGTGCGTTTTCAACCGCCTCAAAACCGTGCATAGGGCATTGGACAGGCGATTGGGAAGCGTTTTTAACGTTCCTCAAACGCTCCCCAAACGCCTGTCAAATGCTATAGGGGCGTTTTGGCAAGAGTTAGAAATAAAAGTCAAGTGTGAACGAGCCCTTAGGGACCTGACATTGTAAGCTCCTTGATGGCAGGGACTGATGTGATGCAAATTTTATATATAGTGAGGAACAGAAGTATTTTAACACCCTGCGATTTTGCATGTTCTCCCACTTAGAAATCATGGAGGGGTCTGAAATTCACATTGTAGGTGCATTCCCACTCTAAGAGAATTTACAAAAAAATTCAGGAAATCACATTGTATGATTTTTAAAGAATTTATTTGTCTTGCACTGCTGAACATAAGTATTTGAACACGTAAGAAACAGCAAGAATTCTGGCTCTCAAAAACCTGCTACTGTGCCTTTAAAAATCCACCTCTACTCCACTCATTAATCTAACTTAGTAGCATCTGTCTGGGCTCTTTAAAGACATCTGTCCACCCCACAGTCAGTCAGACGTTAACTACTACCATGGGCAAGACCAAAGAGCTGTCAAAAGACACCAGAGACAAAATTGTGGACCTCCACAAGGCTGGAAAGGGCTACGGGGCAATTGCCAAGCAGCTTGGTGAAAACAGATCAACTGTTGGAGGAATTGTTAGAAAATGGAAGAGACTAAAGACGACTGTCAGTCTCTCTCGAACTGGGGCTCCATGCAAGATCTCACCTCGTGGGGTATCACTGATGATAAGAAAGGTGAGGAATCAGCCCAGAACTACAAGGGAGGAGCTGGTAAATGACATGAAGAGAGCTGGGACCACAGTTTCAAAGGTCACTGTCGGTAGAACATCCATCATGGTTTCAAATCATGCATTGCACGGAAGGTTCCCCTGCTCAAGTCATCACATGTCCAGGCCCGTCTGAAGTTTGCCAGTGACCATCTGGATGATCCAGAGGAGGCATGGGAGAAAGTCATGTGGTCAGATGAGACCAAAGTAGAACTTTTTGGTCTAAACTTCACTCGTCGTGTTTGGAGGAAAAAGATGGATGAGTTGCATCCCAAGAACACCATCCCTACTGTGAAGCATGGGGGTGGTAACATCCTGCTTTGGGGGTGCTTTTCTGCGAAGGGGACAGGGCGACTGCACTGTATTAAGGAGAGGATGAATGGGGCCATTTATTGTGAGCTTTTGAGAAACAACCTCCTTCCCTCAGTCAGAGCATTGAAGATGGATCGTGGCTGGGTCTTCCAACATGACAACGACCTGAAGCACACAGCCAGGATAACCAAGGAGTGGCTCTGTAAGAAGCATATACAAGTTCTGGAGTGGCCTAGCCAGTCTCCAGACCTAAATCCAATAGAACATCTTTGGAGGGAGCTGAAACTCCATGTTGCTCAGCGACAGCCCCGAAAACTGACAGATCTAGAGGAGATCTATGTGGAGGAGTGGGCCAAAATCCCTGTTGCAGTGTGTGCAAACCTGGTCAAGAACTACAGGAAACGTTTGACCTCTGTAATTGCAAACAAAGGCTTCTGTACCAAATATTAACACTGATTTTCTCAGGTGTTCAAATACTTATGTTCAGCAGTGCAAGACAAATAAATTCTTTAAAAATCATATTGCTTGAGGTGATTGTAGCCGTATTAGTGCATTTGCGACAGAAACAATTGAGTACTGTCCGTGATACTTTTTTTATTTTCACTAACATACAATTTTGAGGACAAGCTTTTGGGGTATGTCCCCTTCTTCAAATTCCAAGCAGTACTATATAAATCACAAAGTTTCAGCAGAACATTGGAAGGGATGAGAAAAAAAAAAAAAGAGGTTATTGTCAGGAATGGACTTGCCAATGGTGGTGGGACTCACCTGCCTTGTGGGCTGCAGTACCAAGGGTGGCCAGCAGGTGCTCTCAGCAGCCAGAATTTCACTCCTGCAATCAAGCCATCACCTGAGGCTGATTGAAGGAGGTGTATTTAAGCAGGACCAGGCCTGTGATCAGTGCCTTGGTGTATTGTGCCCATGAGCCCCTGTGTCTGAACTTGATCCTGTTGTCTGCCTTCCTGATCCCTCTGCCTGACTCCTGACATTGATTAAACTCTGCCTGTATCGACCCCGGCTATTCCTGACCACTCTTCTGCCTGCTCCTTTGGTACCTTGTCTGCCCGATTGTTCCTGACCCGGCCTGCCTGACCACTCTTCCTCTCCAGCCCTGACTACGCCTGTCTGTGTTCCTGAACATACTGACATTAGTTGGAGGTTTGGGTTTTGTTTGTAGTGTGCATTGTATACTCCTGTAGTTTTGAATAAATTATATTCTTATTATATCACTCCTGAAGCTTGCTTTCCCTGTGTCAGTTCACACATCTCTGGTCATACCAGGAGCCCTGACAGTTAGAGATAAGATACAGTAAAAGTGAGGGGGGGGGGGGGGGATACCACACTCACACAGAGGGAGTTAAGCTTAAGCTAATAGTCATAAAACTGTTGGATAATGATTGAGGAATCCCATGTCCAAATTCAGGCCATTATCTCTTGTGTCAAATAGAATTATCATTCTTAGTTCAAAAGTTTTTCTTTCCTAAATGGATTTGAAATTTCCTTTAAGAACTAAAATATTAAGGTCAGCCTGAATTTGGACATGGGATTCCTCACTCATTATCCAACAGTTTTATGACTATTAGTTTAAGCTTAACTCCCTCTGTGTGAGTGTAGTATCCCCCCCTCCCCCCCTTACTTTTGCTGTATCTTATCTCTAACCTCTTCTTTTTTTTTTTTTTTTTTTTTTCATCCCTTCTAACGTTCTGCTGAAACTTTGTGATTTGTATAGTACTGCTTGGACTTTGAAGAAGGGGACATACCCCAAAAGCTTGTCCTCAAAATTATATGTTAGTGCAAATAAAAGTATCATGGACAGTACTCAATTGTTTCTGTTAAAAATCATACAATGTCCTGAATTTTTTTTTTACATTCTGTCTGTCTCTCAGAGTGGGAATGCACCTACAAAGTGAATTTCAGACCCCTCCATGATTTCTAAGTGGGAGAACTTGCAAAATCGCAGGGTGTTCAAATACTTCAATTCCTCACTGTAGGTAAAATGCTGCATACATTGTGGGTGCTATATAAGTACCTGTAATAAAAAAGTCTCACATATAGCTGGGCCATTACTGTTTCAGGTAATAGACTAGTCTGTCATGTAGCACACATTACTATATATGATAAATGGCTTCAATACTGATTCATTTTAAAAATATTGAGCTTAATAAATCTAGTTCTGCAAATCCTTATATAAATAAATGCTTTGATAAATAAATATATATATCAATTTTCATACAGGTGATCAAGGAGGCTAGTAGCCCAACTTCAATACATTTAACTGCTTCCCCAGCACTGAGACATAAATTGGATCTGGACAAGGTGAGGTTATCTGAAAACACAATTGTCATAGATATAATAATAGGGAAAGGCTTCTCTTCATATATTCAAAGCATTGTGCTGCAACTTTAAAGGAGAAGTTTGGGGTTATATAAAAATAAACATACTCACCACTATGCTTCAGCATCGGTGTGATGTTGCAGCTGTCCCACATTCACTCTAAGACCAATAACCAAGTGATCACATCACCACTGATTGCTCAGTATTCGTTCTTCTTGGAGAGGAGAACAGTGACTGTCAGTCACTGCTCTCCTCTCTGATCCTCCAGCACTCAGTGGAGCACCGGGCTGGAGAGGGGTGGAAGCACGCTGACAGCCAGAGTCAGCTGTCATGCTGAGTGGATCCTTACAATATTTTTAGGATCCTTCCAAGTCTTGATCAGCTATGTGACCTTAGCTGATGGCGAGTTTTACCCTGCTGTCGGCTGATTCTGGGGGTCACAGGAGAGCAAAAATAAGTGCACTCCTGTGACCCACAAGAGAAGTATGGCCAGAAAAGCTTTGGCCATACTTCTCTTTTAAGGAGACCCAGCCATTCTAATATCTCCAGGTGTTTACAAAACTTTCTGTGCTGACCATATAAATACTAGATAATAACACATCACACAGAAGTGACAGGCATATCTGATAATCTAAAGGAGAAGTCCAAGCCAAGCAGGTCTGATAATATATATGTATAGCCTATAGTTGTGCTTTTGCAAAGGAAAATACCACAAACATCAGAAAGAATATTTGTTCTGTTTTGCGGGCATAAACTAGCCATTAAACACAATGCACGTGGATTCTACTGTGTTCTCCCTCACTAAACCACACAAAGCCCCTAATACAAACCTACGCACCAGCTAAAAATTGATTTGTAACATTTAGCACAGAGATTGCAGGAACATATTTGTCATTATTATGTGTCAACTATTGCATTTTTTAATACAGAGGTCCAAATATCAAAATTGGGGTCCTTCTTCTATGAGATCCTTAATAAAAGATCGGGTTCCTGTTCTTGTTCATTATAGCATTTAACAAAAAGAACTGGGAATGCAAGGGTCAGGACAATACTTTTTTTTTTTTTTGGAAATGTTGTTTTGTATAATAAGAATGTTGGTTACCCATTCACAGCCTGTCTCATGTATGTTTGAAATAGACTGTACCTTTTAGGTGAGTAATACAAATCATATTAATAATAATATTTCACAGTGAACAGCCAGGACTGATGACAGTAGCTCCCTCTGCTGGTGAATCTGTAGAAGAAAACATACTGCATAAAAGTCAAAATCATATTCATTATACTTAAACATCAATTTAAAATGACATAATGAAATTATTTTTTATGTATATGTATTTTTTAATATTTAATATTCCTATGTAATCTTCTTTTGTTAATCAGTGTAGCACTTAGCCATGAACTGAGAACTAAATGAGGACAAAGCAGGCATAAAGTATATTCTGAAATTAATGTATCATGTGAGATATCTGTCTTGTAATTTGTGTGCTATTTCTTTTCCCATAGAGGTTGTCACATGACAAGACATCTGACTCCGACAGTGCAGCGAATGGTGACAACAGTTCCCCCAGTAGTGGCAAAGAGAACCGTGACAATGGTAAATAGTCTCCTTACAATGTGTTAGCATTAAATGCATTCACTTAATCCTATAATCATGTGTCCGCTATCCATACAGTATTTGCTTTGTTCAAAGGTATAAATGTATGTGTTGGAGAATCATAGCAAACACTCTTATTTTATCTTAATGAACCCATATCTGTATTACATGTTTTTTATTTACATCTGCTTGGAGTTCAGTTTTACATGCAAACCCACTATAGACAACTGTGTCATCAGAAAACTGTAACATACTCCTCTGCTTCCCATTCCCTGTTCAATCCCAGGCTGGGAGCAAGTTGGAGATAAAGTTGTATTACTTACCTATACAGAGAAAACTGAAATCACTCACCTGGATATGTGGTCTTGCAGGGTTTACTGGATCACAAGACCAGCTAAACACAAGACCAGCTAAACACAATGACAATCCTTAAATTTTACAGAGAAAATGCACTGACCCTGTGTGATACAACTACAAAGCCATGGATAGGAAAACCGGTATAAATAAATCTGAATGTTACCAGGCTGGGAGTAAGTTGGATACCAAATTGTATTACTTAAGGCTGGCCATACATTATACAATCTTTATATATAATTTTCCTTTAGATTTATCCTTGCACTACATAGTTGAAAGAAAATTGAATAAGAACATTGTATAATGCATGGCCAGCCTTAAATTTACAGAGAAATCTGAGGTCACTGACCTGGACATGTGATACAACTACAAAGCCATGGATAGGAAAACAGGTAATGATTATGTATTTCTAGCTTAGATGGCAGAAAGCCAGGTTAAGTTTCAGTCAAATCTGAAATGTGTATGTATTGTATTGAAATTTTAGACTTCTTTAAAGCAAGATAGACGTTTAAATGAAAAACAAAAAAACATATATATATATATCTATATATATATATATATATATATATATATATACACACACCAAAAGACATTATCCTTTGTACGTCGGGAGCTGTGCAGCTGGTGCTATTCTGACCACGTCTGTTACCACGTCTGCTATTTCATCATGGACAGCAAGCTAGAACAAACTTTTATAAGTGAAATTCTGGGTGAAATTGGGCAAATCTGCCACAGAGACGTTTGACATGATTCAGGCAAGTTTACAGCGATGCTGCAATCAGTCGTTTAAGGTATTTTGAGTGGCATGCAGACTTCAAGAGTGGAAGAACATTACTGGTTGTCTACCATCTTGATTAACGGTCTCTGGACTGGGCTGCAACATGTGCGCCACCTATCAGTAGTAGGACACACTTGTCCCTTACTACTACTTGTAGTACCGCCACGCTAGCATTCCTTTTTATACCTGAAAAATTGAAAGTCCAGATGTGACTGAAACGCCCCTCATAAATATACAGACTTGCAGTACTGGCAACATAAAATGGTACAAATAGTACAAATTGTGCCAAAAAAAAAAACAGTACAGCTAAATGAAAAACCATGTTACTTTGTGGTGCTATAATATTGTCAGTTTGGAAAGTATGTTTTAATAATAGCTAATTTCTTAGCTTGTACACCCCTTGAGGGATAGGGACTGCTGTGAATGTACAATATGTATGTAAAGCGCTGCGTAAATTGATGGCGCTATACAAGTAGCTGAAATAGATTTCTTTAACTATCTGTTTTAGTAGCTGTTGTTTTTGACTAAGGAGTACAAGGAACATACATGCATATGGCTGCATTTAGTTGGTATTAAAGATGCAATCCTTAAAATTTATCGTCATTCTTCATTTGTGACCTCTACCCTTAGTGAAGTGTCGGAGAAGTGGCTTGGCTGAGTTAAAGGGTTCCATGAGTCGGGCTGCGGGCAAGAAAATTACAAGGATAATTAGTTTTTCTAAAAAGAAGCATTCTGCAGACGAACAGCACACCTCATCCACAGATGAAGATGTCCCTTGTTGTGGTAAGGATTTAAGTTAATGGCATCATCTGAACCTTACCTCCTCCCTAATCTGTATTAAAATTGTGTTTCCACGGGCACTAATATTTATATTTATAATATGGTGTAGTGAGCACATCAAACATACCATAAAATGAATAGCAGCAGTATCAATGAAATCCATGAAATGGCTTTCTGCCATTCTCACCGATGGAGTTTTTTTCTTTCATGGAGATAATCATCATATGTTTTCACATCTTCCCCATATAGGAGAGCTGCTCAAATTTGTCCCCAGAATCAAAGGAAAATATTATTATCTAAAAATTCAGTTTTTTCCTCTGTCTTATGCTAAGTGTCGTAAGTATTAGCCTTTCCTTCTACAGTATTTCTGGTAATATTTAAGAACCAAAGTTATGTTTTGAAGGCTAGAAAGGCATGCAAATTGTCTTTGCACCCCTGTTCTCAAGATACAGCACTGCTTAGGCCTCATGAACACTGCAGCTCTTCTAAATGCCTTTTTCCTAGAAGGAGGAAACAACATTTAAAATCATGCCTAAAGCCGTGTTTTTTTTCAAGCGTATTTTAGGTGCATTTAGACACATTCAGGCACATCAAGCATTTTGGCATTCATTAATTTCAGAATATTGATTTATTTTGGCCACTGAAATGAATTAATGCTCAAGTGCTAAACGCACCTAGAATTTGTGTATGTACATGCTTTTTTTAATTGACGCTGGAACACTCTTCTCCTGACCACACTGGCCTTTGGTTTTTATTCTGTCTATAAATGCCCCTGCCTCTAAACGCCTGTAAAAATATGTGTGTGCCTTGACACATAGGTTAACATAGAGGGATGTTTAGAGGCAGGAAAACACGTCTAACACTCTTAACAATGACCTTATCGACACCCAGTGTGCATGAGGCCTTATGCAAAATAACGGCACTTTGCTTTATGCACAGCTGCTATTGTAAATTATGAGCATAGAAGAGAAAAAAAGTGCAACTGCAAATTTCTATGCCTGGTAGAAGAAATGATATTGCTTTCACACTAAGTGGCAGGAATGTATAATTTTGACAGTCTTCTGGAGCTCTTGATCGAAAGGATCAAAAATGGGAAATACAAAATAACAGCACTGTCTCACCCAGCTCTCCTGGCCTCTCGTGGTTCACTCCGCCTGTTACAGCATAAGGGCCCACTCTCTGGCTTCTTAATGGGGGATCTCCTGGCACCCCAGTCTCCCACACACCTCCTGAGACCTACAGATTCCTGCAGTCCCCTGGACTTGCCTAGTTGTCCTGGCTTTCACAGCCTTCTGGACTCGCTTAGCCATTTCGACCCTCTCAGTCCTATGGGTGGGATATCTCTCCTTCATCATGGAGTGCTGTCTCTAAAATGGAGCACACATTTCCCCTGATTGGAGTTTGCCTGTCTCCTGAAGGGAACCTTGAGTTATGGCCAGGCCTCACTTATAACAAGTGTGTATACTTGCATACCCACACAGCCTACAGGTCTCCAGTAAGATTTGGACACAGAATTGGAGGCTTCTTCTGCCTACACTCAGTGCAGGGCCTAGCACTGTCATGATATACAGTGTTCAGCATAAATGAGTACACCTCTTTTTAAAAGTAAGATTTTCATCAATATCTCAATGAACACAGGAACGATTTCCTTTTTTTCATTTTTGCAACATGGTCTTGAATGAATTTGTTATGAAAAATACTTTTTTGCGTGTGCACATTAACAAATCTTATTTGCAATCAATGGCCCACACTTGTGGGAGTATTATGTAGTATAGTGTCCCATAGAAAATGTTGATTCTGAAAGGAAAGTAAAGGTTTTCTGAAAAATCTGTTGGGGTGTACTCATTTATGCTGAGCACTGTATATAAAAGCATCACTTCCTCAAATTCTTCCTGTTCCAACATGACTGCGCACCAATGCACAAAGCAAGGTCCATAAAGACATGGATGAACAAGTATGGGATGGAGGAACATGAGTGGCCTGCACAGAGTCCTGACCTCAACACCTGTGGAATGAATTAGAGCAGAGACTGCGAGCCAGGCCTTCTCATCCAACATCAGTGCCTGACCTCATAAATGCGCTTCTGGAAGTATGGTCAAACATTCTTCTCATAGACACACTCCTAAACCTTGTGGACAGCCTTCCCAGAAGCTGTTATAGCTGCAAAGGGTGGGCCAACTCAATATTGAACCCTACGGACTAAGACTGGCATGCCAATACAGTTCATGTGTGTGTAAAGGCGGGCGTCCCAATACTTTGGGCAATATACTGTATACTGTGTACTCTTACATTCAAATGAAAAATCATTTAGTGCCCCTTAGCAAGAGTAGTAAAGGGTGGAAATTTCTTGAGGAGATTCACTGTATGTTTGTTTGCATTGTGGCTACCAGGGAAGTACACTATTCCCTGGGGAAGATGATTGTTACACATGAAAAATGTTAGCTTCACCTCTTGTTAATGCTCTTTGCTGTCTGTCATAGGTTTCTTGACTGTACTTGTGAACCAGTGCTGGAAGGAACGTTGGTGTCGTTTAAAGGGTTACACATTGTATTTTCACAAGGATCGCAATGATCTACGAACTCACGTTAACTCTATTGCACTGAGGGGCTGTGAGGTCTCACCAGGGTTTGGACCAAAGCACCCATTTGCTTTCCGAATCTTACGCCAAAACCAAGAAGTCTGTGTTTTAGAGGCAAGTACCCTATTGTAATAGGTTCTTGTCATTTATTATGTTTTTTGAGTTCCCATTAATTTGCCTTGAGAAGCTACAGTTCTGTAAATGAAATCAAAACCAACGATGCTATATACAGTTAATTGGGATGGTTTTAATTGTGTTACAGTGGGGTTTTTTTTTTTTACTAAAGCTGAAGAGTACAAAATCGTGCACTTTTTCAGAGAAACCAATCCATTTCCAGGTTTTATTGCCAAAGTTTAATTGAACAAACAGTTTAGAAGCTGATTGGCTACCATGCACAGGTGCACCAGATTTTGAGTGAACCAGCTTGTAAATCTTTCCCATTGCCTGCTTGCGTACGGCCATGTTCATGGCCTACAATAAAAAGAGACACTCTGGTTCCAATCTTCAAGCATATCCATGGAAATAATTATACTTACTTAAATGGAAATAATTGTCCCTGCATCAAATTCAACCAACTGTACAAAAAGTGGCAACCACCCCAACCTATAACTGGATGGTTGGTTCCAGGGGGGCGGACTGACAACTCATGGGGCCCCCGGGCAATAGGGGATCATGGGGCTCCTGTGTCCTCACCAACACCCAAAAAAGCCAATGAAAGGTACCAGGGGCATCTCATGGGGCCCCCTACTGACCCCGTGCCCTCGGGCAGCGCCCGAGTGTTCGAATGGTCAGTCCGCCCTGGTTGGTTCTGTTTATCTGTTTATCCGTGACTGTGAAGACCTCTGACTAGGTATTCTAAGCTGGATGTTGGCAGAAGATATTTGGTACCTAGCTGTTAACTGGCTAAAATGTGATTATGTAGTAGTCTAAATAGTCATAAACAATGTCTAAAACAAAAAAAAACGTAAACCATCAGGCTGATGTCAGATGGACAGATCTGCTAGTTGAGGCAGTGTCGCTCACAACACTAGCAATCAAGATTCGGAAACGTTCAGGTGAGCGATTCAGATAGCAAGTGAGCAATTCCATAGGGACAGGCAAACAGCCTCCAGTAGCTAGTGGGAGAGTCACACTTTTGATATTACTCTTTGTAAGGACTGTTGTACTGGAGGTATCTTTGGGTCAGGGACTTGTATACATTTTTCATGATTTTAAAGTTCAGGTAAATATTTTGAATAGTTTATCTGTAGTATCAGCTTTCAAGTTTCTGTTGCACTCCTTTTTGTCAGTGTTTGGAAAATTGGGACTAGATTACAAGGTCCACATAGGAGCTCCAAAATGGGCATATACCGTATGGAGGCTCCTTAGAACTCCAAGCAGAGGACATGGAAATTTTACTGGCAGACCTATGCTTTGAAAGCAGGGTTTTCCTTAAGGCAAACTATTCATGTTCCTTTATAACAGAATTCTGGCCTAATTAAAAAGTAAGGTATTTTTTACCAGGAGGTTCTGTTGCAATTTCTAATTACAACCAACAAATATCTCTTTTTGGTACCCACAACCTTTGAGTAGGGGATCAGCTAACGTGCAGTCTAAGACCTAGAATCAAGAAATATTGTAAATGTCTGTGTCTCTGCTTGCCCCTTCCACTACACTTATCCTGACAGACCAGCTTTTCGAAAGCAACATAGGAGTAGCTCCTGTTGAAGTATGGGAATTCTTTCTACCTGATTCAGACCCACTTAGATCTGACAAGCTGGGGAGAATAAGAGACACAATTACTATACTTTAAATTATTCCACATAGCCACAGGGCCTTATAAATTAGTAAATTGTGCTTTCACAGAATTTTCTTTTTTTTTTTTTTAAGTAGTAGCATCACATTACATGGTCTCTTTTCAATGCAGTAGGGTTTAGAATAGTTCTTTTTTAATGCAAGTGTACCAGTCTGTCCATTCAGAGCAATGTAACAGGTTATCTTTATAGGTCACCTCCTCTACTCCTAATCCTGACCTCTAACAAACAACCCCCTCTCCCCCCCTCCAACACTCTGTTGACCTGCCAGAGCCCTGTGAGAATACTTTGGGTATAAGGAAGCATAAGACCTTCCTTCCTGGTGTAATGAATCAGAGGCCAGTCACCACATCTGAGCACCATCATGTGGTGGCAAGTGGAAGTTCCTTAGCCATCTATAACAGACTGAGCTTACCTAGAGCTTTGTATTCAGCGCTCCAGCAAGCAAACCAAGCAGTGGGGATGTCCAGGGAAGGTACGTTTTAGTAGAAGAGGAGGTTTGATATAAAGAGCTAAACCACTAACTGCTTTATCTAATCGCAAGAACCCATGACAGGATATAAAAACACCAAAACAAAAGTGTAATTAATTGCAACCTACTATTCCTTACTGCTGCATTAGTCTTCATTTTGAATACAAACAGTATTTTCAGCAAGTACAGAAGTTATCTGCTGATCTTGGCAAAAATGCATGTCCTTGACATGCCCCGTGAGCTGAAATCCCAAACAATTTGTATAGTTGTGTATGGTGTATAATTAAATCTTGAAAATGTTATAACACCAGTTTTCCATATCTAAGGACTGTGCTTTATTTTTTTATTTCTCATTTAATTGCAGGCTAGCTCCTCTGAAGAGATGGGCCGATGGCTGGGGTTACTGCTGGCTCAGACTGGTTCAAAAACCAAACCTGATGCTCTGCACTATGACTATGTTGATGTTGAAACAATAGCCAACATCGTCACTGCTGTGCGTCACTCTTTCCTGTAAGTAATCAATTGTTTGATAAAACTTTCTAGTCTTGTCAAGTGTAGTGTGCACTGGAGGGTCATATAGATAGTTTTACTGCCATACTCACAAATATGTAAGAACTGACCAACATTACTGCATGTCTCACTACATGTATGCACAGTGTTATACTGATGCTGTGTAAGTGCCTTATTCTGTAACACAAATATATGTCATTTTATATCCTTTTGGATTATCCTTCAAGCACATGTAGATATTTGGATAAGTACAGGCTGGATATGTCTGAGAAAAAGGCTGGGCAGCTGAGCATTCCCTGTATACAGAGTGTATACACTTTCACCATAGCAAATGGACAGTTAGAATAGTCCTTAATCCAGGGACAGACACACCACTTGTGCAAACTGTACAGATGCACAAGGGCCCTCAGTAACCCTAGGAATCAGAAATGATATTTAATTTGACTATAGTAAAGTGGAATTGAAATGTCCATACATATTAGATACATTTTATGCTTTTCAGAATGTCATACCGATCATTATTTCCTACAATTAGGTAATATTTTGTTTCTCAACTTACTGCATCCTTTTAAGCTATATATATTTACCTGGTACATGAAGTCTCCTGCTTCTTCCATGTTATTGATACTCCAACAACGCGATTGCCATAATTCCCTGATATTTTCATGTCCATTTGGGAATGTTGGCTTTCTATGTTCTTCCACCTTCTGTTACAGAGTTTAAAGTGTTACTAAACCCAGGACACTGCCTTCACTATATCTGGACTCCCACAGTGCCCAGAGCTTGGAAATGCAATTATTTCAGTAAATATAAACTGCTAACTACCTTTTCTCATCAGCAGTTAGAGCAGTCTTGTGACTTCTATCAGAGTCTGGTTAAAGCTTGTAAGAGGAGATTTCATTCTCCCCTGATTGTCCTATGAAGCTGCATAACCCTTGATCCTCTGTCTAGACAGCGCTGATTGGCCCTGTGTTGATCACATGCACTCTCCCAAAAAAAAAAAAAAAAAAAAGACTCTAGCAATACACACCAAACTGAGCATGTGCATCTTGCCCCCTAGTCTCTGTCCTATCAGGAGATATATTGGGGACAGTAGAAGATGGAGAGGAATTAGATTAAACATCCTTTTTACACAATGCAGAGGATTAACCCCTTAGGTTCCACAGTGAGTATAACAAGCATGCTTTACTGCATATACAGACTGATTTTACTGTTGTGGGTTTAGTAACACTTTAAATATATTTTTAAAAATATATAACAGGAAGCATGAGACCCACTTGGCCACATCAGGTGAGATCTCACCTGACTTATAGAAGAAATTGTTAGGCTTAAACACTCCAACACCAACCAAGATTGACCCTTTATTACCACCACTGCAGGTAATTGTAATTGAAAATATGCAGTAAGGCCAGTAACAGAATTTTCAGTATCTCACAGTGTAAAAGGAGCAGGACCATTTAGATATTAACCATGTGTCCTCCTGAGGAGTTACCCCCCCCCCCCCCTTCCTGACCAGGCCATTTTTTTGCGTTATGGCGCTGCGTTACTTTAACTGACAATTGCGCGGTCATGCAATGCTGCACCCAAATGAAATTTACTTCCTTTTTTTCCCACGAATTGAGTTTTCTTTCGGTGGTATTTGATCACCTGTGTGATTTTTTTTTTTTTTTTTTGTGCTATAGAAAAAAAAAAGACCAACAATTTTGAGAAAAAAAACAATATTTTTGACTTTTTGCCTTTAAACATGTCCAGTAAAAAAATTTTAAAAAATCAAATTTCGTCATCAATTTAGGCCAAAATGTATTCTGCTACATGCCTTTGCTAAAAAAAAATCCCAATATGTGCAAATTAATTGGTTTACATGAAAGTTAGTGTTTACAAGTGGCGGTATAGATACTGGAATTGTTTTTTTTTATTTATTTTTACTAGAAATGGTGGAGATAAGCGACTTTTAGCGACTTATATAGCGACTTATAGCGGGACTGCAGCGGGCATTCTGACACTGGGGGGAACTGACGTGGTGTCACTGACATCCCAAGTAACACCAATACAGCGATCAGTGCAAAAAAAAAGCATTGATACTGTACTAAGGGCACTGGGCAGGAAGGGATTAACATGAGGGGCGATCAAAGGGTTAACCTTGTGCTGTTTTTGTGTTTGGGTCCCTGTGCTTCACTGTAATCACACTGCCTTGCAAAGCAGTGTGCACGAGCGGACAGGGAGGAGAACTGTATTGTTTACATACAGTTTTCCTCCCTGTCAAAGATGGTCGGCAATCACCGAGCACTAGCGAGTAATCACCGGCCGGGACCCGGTGATTGACAGCCGCGGCCGTGAATGGCGGTGTGGGTAGAGGGCCCCCTACCCGGAAATGCATCATTACGTGTATATATATATATATATATATATATATATATATATACATGATTTTGCGCACCCATGCCACCCTGTAGCAGTATATCTGCTATAGGGCGGTCGGAAAGTGGTTATAGTGATAGTAAACCCTCACCTTGCAAAACAACCCATTCAGTTTTAAAAAGAAATGAAAGGCAAAATATTTGTGTATACATATAAAACATTTTTGTTTTCTTTTTTAAAAGTAATGACCTACCCTCTGTTCTCTGCTGCATAGCAGTTGGGGAAGGAAAAACAGCAATACACTGATCTTCCCAGTGAATGGCTGTGCAGGGGATGTATGTCAGCACAAGTCTGATCATTGGCTGAGAGCAGACTGTGTTCCCAGTATAGTTAAGGAACTGACCACGTTGTGTTCTCATGCCTAGTGAGGTCAGTTTTCAATAGGAAAGCAGGGGGACTGGCAGGAATACCAGGTATTTCAGACTAAGGAAGCAATACAAAGAGAACAGGATACTTTTTCATAAATGTGCATGGTACAGCAGGCACATATCAGGAATAGGAAATGTTGGGTTTACATATTCTTTAAATAAAATACAATGTAGCCTGGTATGTCTATATAAGAATGTATCTGAGAGTATCTGTGAATTTTTTAGGTGGGCAAAATCTTCACATAGCAGTAGTAGTGATTCCCGAATCTATGATGACGTGGCCTATGAAAAGGTAAGTTTAATCTGTTCGCTTTCCATTGAAACAAAAGGTTCATTTTTCAAGACAGTACACTACAGTATATTTACTTTGTGCTTTCTATATAATGGCCAGTAGTGGGAGCTGTTGGACTTTACTCTTGCAAATTAACATGCATTCCTTTTACATTGTCTAACTTTACAGAAGTATTTACTACTTGTGCTTTGTTATCACTGCAATCTCAATAGAAGTGGTGAAGTAGATGTATTTTTAATATATCATTGATGAGTATGCAAATGTATTAAAATACCTAACACATTCCACATGCATGTAACACATCACCCACCATCAGTAGTATTTTGAGAACAGTAACTATAGTGGATCTTACTTTTGTAACTGTCATAGAAAAGACTTCTCTAAGTCAACCTTTATCTCACAACTGCCATTTAAATTGTCTTTTTGCAATCTGGGAAAACTGAAGGCAGAAACTGGTTGCAGTGGAGCAAAGACTGTCTGAGACAGGTCTTCAATAAACGAGGCCTTGTAATCCATGGCTTTATTAAAATCTGCAGATTAGAAATTGGGTTATTATGATCAGTACATGTTGATTGTGAATGTTTCTAGGTGGAAGACCCTAAACGTACTCAAGGTGGAACACAGGTAAAACGCCATGCATCATCTTGTAGTGAAAAGTCCCGGAGAGTGGATCCTGAAGTTAAAGTCAAGCGTCATGCTTCAAGTAAGCACTTTTTACACTTTGTTAGAAGATATAGATAAGCAATTTCAGACAAGTTGTGGTATCAGTAAATTTCTCATCCTATCCAAACTTTGAACTTTGCTGAAGTCAGATTTTGCCAAAGTGATTCTTCTATATAGTACATATAGCTTAGGATTATGGAGAATATTTATATATATATTGCTCACCTGTTTCAGATGCCAATCAATATAAGTATGGCAAAAACAGAGCTGAGGAAGATGCACGGAAATTTGTTATTGAAAAAGAACGCCTGGAACAGGAAAAGGAGGCCATCCGAAACAAGCTGCTAGCTCTTAGGAAAGAAAGGAGAGAGCTGAAGGAGCTTCTGAAGAATAGTACAGGTACATTGAACAGTAATGATGTTTTTTAACAGTGTAAAGTAATTTGCTTTTCGACTCTGTTTTACTTTTCCTTTAGATTGAAGCTTCTAACATTCATTTAAATAATGCGTCCATTCAGAAATACCGATATTGAGATAAAACTTTGCATACAAAATTACCTGCAATATTTGTATTGTTTTTAAGGAAATAAAACCACATCAAATTCTCCCACACAGGAGAATAAAACAATTGCATGAAACGTTCAGTCAAAGATAAGGTTACAAACCTATCAGCAAAATGTAACAGTCCGAGAGTGTGACTGACACTTACACAACAACCTTTAGGCTCTGTCTGGGTCAGAATATCCTGAAGAAAAGCAAGGAGTACATAGAGAGGAAAGCAAAGCAAGTCAAGCGAGATTAAGAATGAGAAAGGAAAAGAGGAAGAATAAAGGAGGGGTGGAGGGGGTATTCCCCACATATTCAGGACCAGGCTAGGTAGTGAGTTATAATCAACCTAAATCAAAGGAATGAAAAGCTGGTAATGCACAATTAAGTCACGGTTTCCATGTTTTGAGGAATTTAGAGTAGTCATTTAGGATTAAGACAATTACAATTTCAATAATCAATGTGGCCATATGGTCTTTCACTTCATGAAAGGGGACAGAAGGGTTCTTCCATGCATTGGCTATGGTCTGTTTGGCAGCCAAGAATAAGTAGATCACTAGTTTTTGTTGATACGGTAAAAGACCAGGAATTGGGCAATGCTGTAGGACCAACTTAGCCTCTTTAGGGGTCATTAAGTAGAAGAATGTTTGATTGCATACTGGTGTAGGGTCTTTGAGATACTCCAATCATAAGCACGACCACCAGATTTGAAGGACATTCCCGCACTGGCCATGGCCCCAGAAGCATTTGTTGCTGCAGTTGGGGTTCGCGTGAGCTACACAGGCCAGGACCCAATACCAAATCATTACTTTTTTTATCCCTCGTTTTAGACTGAAAAGTTAAATTGGTAAACTACTTCCATTGGTGATATTCCCTTTCCAGAAAAGATGTTACATCACTAGGTATCAAGCTAGCTCATGTACTAAGCACATACGTAAATGGGTTTTCAGTAAATATGGACCTGTGCTTCAGACTTCTCTTTTCTAGAGATTTCTACACTGGTCTGATGGGCCACTACTACCCATGGTAATACAATGTAGGAGCTCCATTATATTAGCATAGATGACCCACAAATCCATTTTGTCATTTGCACTGTTATAGCAATGTCAGCCAGCATCAGAGACCATGAAAAATAGAAAACAATGTTTTCAGTTTTTGGTGTCGCTGCTACTTAAAGGATGTTTACACAACTCCATCCAAATATAGGTCCCCACTTTAGGCCCTTCCATAATAGCATTGTGGAAGATTTATGTGTTGGATAAGCTTCTAGTGGTTACTGTGTTTATAAACAATCCTTTTTTTTTTATTTTGGATAGAGTAGAGGATGGTTAAAATTCTATTGGAAGCTTTCCCTTCAGCTCCTGTCGCAGTAACAACCATAAAATATTGGCTATCCCAGCATTTTCTGTCTAACATTGGTAACATTGGTCACCAGGACAAATATAGAAGGTGAATCCTCCCCATAGGAACACAGACAGCAGTAAAAACTTGACAGGGTTTCTAACCATTCCCTACTGTATCCAAAAAAAGAAAAATAAATAATTACCAACTTAGTGTCTGTTTCATGGACCCAAATGACCCTGCTCTATGATGGCAGCATTACTCACATTAGTTGCACTTTGATTCCAGGGAAGCAGCAACAGGAACTGGAGACAAAGCTGGCCTCACTAGAGGAACAGTGCAAGGACAACGAGAAGAGCCGTGTAGACCTGGAGCTTCAACTTTCAGAGGTGAAAGAAAATCTGAAGAAATCCCTTGCTGGAGGCCCCTCTCTTGGACTTTCAGTGACTGGAAAACCTGAAAATCCTGTAAGTATACTGAGATGCACAGCCAGGTATTTTATGATCAGATATTTTTACAGAAACAAATTAGGGTTTGAGTACAATTTGCAACAATACATGGTAAAAGTTCATCACAACCTCTAAAGAGGAAAAGAATTCAAGCAATGTCAAATCATGTGCAAAATTACTGTACAACGGAAGATCTCACAATTATATAGCTAGCATAACTAACATAAAGCTGAATCATTTAAACCTTGCATATTTGGTTGGTACTTTTCTGCCACCAATTGATATACAATCTGATACTTACCTCCTAGATAGCAGATGTAGTCCCTAGCCAGCCTTTAAATCAGGATTTACATAAATGTACTCCTACATGGAAAGAAAGAAATTGTGTTACGATCTGAACAATTCTGATGCAATCATACAACAGCTTGGCTTCATATGGACTTGATATAATACAAAGAATGCATACCATTGGAATGTCAGACAAGCGGGTTGAAAAATCAGTATGCTAATCCTACTATTTCTACTGATCAGAACAAAGGTAATTTGTAGGCACAAATATTCTCCAATGTAGAGTTCATTCAATATACACTGTCCAGGATAATTTCATAAGGGGAAAAAAAGATAGACTCTGATTGTCCCTAATAGGAAGATCAGAAACTTTGTATTGGGGACTTAAAATGAAGCTATGATCACTTTAAAGTAAGTGCTGGAGAAAAAATGATAAAAGTGATAGCTGAGAATTATGAAATCAGGCACTTAGACATACATGCTAATCTGCCATGGGTTGCTAAGGATCCCTAAAATACAGGGAGCTCTCAACCAGCCCATGTGGTTTAGGACTCAGGTCCACCACTCTACCTCCCATGTTTAAAAACTGGCCATTCAGGCTGTCCACCAGAGCATGGCTCAGTAGTGAAACACTGAAGCCTTCAGGGACAGTCCTAAGCCTTAAACCCCAGTAGTTAATTAAGATATAGATATAGAGTGTCCCAGGTTTCTGTGAGTATACTTGCCAATCTATCTAGGTATTTGCTTTCTAGATCTACTCCCTGTTTATCACTTTTAAAGTAAGTAATGGTCACTTTAGGTGTGCTCAACCTAGCAAAGACACATCCGCTGATGCTTAGGTCCAGCACCCATATTTGCTCATATATGATTTAGGTTTAAATGTAAATTTCTATCAGAGATGAAAATTCAGCATTTTAATTGACTAGAGTGAAGAACATCACCTTGATGGCCATTTTCTTCCTGGGCTGACCATACATACAATTTTCTTGCATAATTTTCCTTTAGCTTTACCAGAACCATATAATATGAGGTCAAGCCTAAACACTTTCAATTTGTATGCAATCAGACAGGTCCTTGCACTATACAGTTGAAGGCAAATTCAAAGGATAAGTTCACTTTTTGGTAAAAATAAATAATAAATGCACATTCTTTTTGCAGGTAAAAAAATTGCATTTATTATTTTTTTTTACTGTAGGAGTCTGTAAAGCATTGCCATGCAGGTCTCTTGCAGATCTGTCAGTATACCTGCCTACCTGTAGGAGGAAGCAGATATACTAACAAGAGGATTCAGTGAACTACCACAGCGCTGCAGAGGGGCAGGGAGGGAGAAGATCCCTTGCTAGCTGTCAAAGCGGGGGATCAGTGGGGAGGGGGGAGCCGGTGCTTTCATGACGTTATATGATGCACCCTGAATTTGGGTATAACATGTTATGAGAGGTGAACTTATTTCCTTTAAAGGCAATAGGATTAGAAAATGGTGTACTTTATTGCCAGCCTGTTGTAAGCTTGAGAAAATGTAGTTTACAGTAGTGTTTTCACCGGTTCAAGCACTGTTCTCTCTGAGCCTTAAGCTGAGCCTTCACATTGGTGCAAGAAAAAGACAAGTCACAGAAATATGTTACAGAAGACTGCAGAACACTCCCATGTACCTGTGTATAAAGCTGGTTAAAGTGCGGCTGTGAAGAGAATAATTTGGAGGCTACCATTGCTGGATTCTTTCTGAAAATGCTAGTTGCCTAGCTATCTCTAGCTTTAATACACTCAGTGGTGTATTTATTTTATGTGCTGCCCTAGGCAACACTAAAATCAGGCACCCCCACCAGCACCGTCGCCCTGAAAATTGGCACCCTAGGCAAATGCCTTGTTTGCCTCGCGGTAAATGCACCACTGAATACACTCAGTCATTGGCCTGCACCAAGTATGCAGCAAGCGAGTCAAGGAGAAGTCAGGATTCCTTACTTACTATATTGTTTTGTACCCATCACTCTGAAAGTATTGCTATACCAAACCATCAGTATGACAGAATCCTACATATTTTGCTTATGACAAGTTTTTGCAAAATCTGTCTACTTTGGATTAAGTAATTTTTAGGGTAACATAAAATGGGTGGACTCATATGCAGCACCACTTTCAAAAGCATTTACCTGGAGTCCTCCTTTAAGTCTCCATAACTTAATACATTTATGTATAAAAGATTTTTTACAGGTAATTTAATTGTTTTGTAAAAATCACCAATTTTCTATGTTTTTTTTACAGACCCCCAAGGCCCAGCAAGAAAGTGAACGCCCTGCACCTATCAACAGTGCAGCAGAGCTGAGACGCAGATCGCCTTCCATAGTAACAAGCAGTAAAGGGAAGGTGTTGCAAAAAGCCAAGGTAGGCTAATGCCCTAATTGAAATACTAGGTGGCATTATTGGCTCACATCTACAGCGGTAAAAGCTCTCTTCCATCTGTCAGTATTTTACATGTATGGTCATCTGATTGGAACTGAAAATCATATTTACACAATTGCCCCAACATTGCCCTTTAATAGAAGCAATCACATATTATTATTATACAGTATTTACAGTATATAGCGCCAAAGGGTATGCTCAGCGCTGTACAGTAGCAAGGGGGACAGAACATGAGACAAGACAGTAACAATACAATACACGAGGGGTTCGAGGGCCCTGCTCTTTCGAGCTTACAATCTCTTACTGTATCTTTTACTGTAGAAAAATACAGTATGTTTTTACTGTTTATACTGTACAATATCAAGACATTACTGAGCCCCTTACATAAATAGTTTATAGATCCTACTCATCCAAACATCATTGCAAGCCATTGCATCCTTGTGCAGAAGGAGAGTTAACAAGGCGCATCAACTATTAAAGAATAAGTACACATTCCAGGGTAAAACAAATGAATTATGTTGCTAATGCATGAAGCTGCATGCATGGATTGAAATTTGGCTGGTTCAGCAGCCGAATTTCGAGCTATGTATGGGAAACCGGTTGGTTGTACAGAAGTCACTCTACCGATCGACAGTCTGTGGGCAGCACAGTCTCTAAATGGTTAGCACTTCCACCTGGCAGTACTAAGGTCATTGGTTCGAATCCCAACCACGGCACCACCTGCCTGGAGTTTGCATGTTCTCCCTGTGCCTGCGTGGGTTTCCACTGGGTACTCCGGTTAACTCCCACATTCCAAAAGACATCCCAGTAGGTTAATTGGATCCTGTTTAAATTGGCCCAAGTATATGTATGTATGAATGTAAGTTAGGGACCTTAGATTGTATGCCCCTTGAGGGTTAGGGACTGATGTAAATGTACAATATATATGTAAAGCGCTGCGTAAATTGACGGCGCTATATAAGTACCTGAAATAAATAAATAAAATACCCTAATCCAAAACCTTTGGACTGGCTGCAAGTCTCTCCCATGAGTTAAGAGACAATGATAATGTAGGGCATAGGACTAATGGTCTATGTTTCAGACATAACCATAAAAGGTGACTAATCGATCCACTCAGAAGAGAAGATTCCTCTATCAAAATCCATTAAGGACTTCTGTGTTTAGTGTGGAATCGGGTTAGCTGTGGCAATTGTGCAGCCTAGTAGTATTTGATTAGATCAGGCATCCCCAGGCTCCCCTTCTGCTATTCACCCTGGGTCTCTTGTCACCTCAAATGTACCATAGCAGCTTCTGTTGAAATATTTTGAGATCAGAAACATGGAGTGAAATCGAGAGAGTCCGAAATAGATACAATAATCTTGGCAAAATGTTAGATTTTATACAGCACATACGACTGAACCAAGTTGGAGACTAGAGCAGGCCATAGATGAAAAATCGCTCGGTGCCGTTGCCGATGCTGCCACCAATGCTCACGAAAGAATGGGACAAGAAACCAGTTTGACAGAGACAGGGGAGCACACCATACAATGTGACAGCAATACAAATACATTGTTTTTACTTGGATACAAATGTTTACATTTGTTGCAACCGCAAGACTTTTTCACATAAAATATAATAGCGGACTTCTTCCTTCTTCTTCTTCTTCCTCCTTTCTTTCTTCTTCTTCTCCTTCTTCTTCTTCCCTTCTTCTTCTTCTTCCTTCTTCTTCTTCTTCTTCTTCTTCTTCTTCTTCTTCCTTCTTCTTCTTCTTCTTCCTTCTTCTTCTTCTTCTTCTTCTTCTTCTTCTTCTTCTTCTTCTTCTTCTTCCTTCTTCTTCTTCTTCTTCTTCTTCTTCCTTCTTCTCTTCTTCTTTCTTCTTCTTCTTCTTCATTCCTTCTTCTTCTTCTTCTTCTTCTTCTTCTCTTCTTCCTCTTCTTCTTCTTCTTCTCTTCTTCCTTCTTCTTCTTCTTCCTTCCTTCTTCTTCTTCTTCCCTTCTTCTTCTTCTTCTTCTTCTTCTTCTTCTTCCTTCTTCTTCTTCTTCCTTCTTCTTCTTCTTCCTTCTTCTTCTTCTCCTCCTTCTTCTTCTTCTTCTTCTTCTTCCTTCTTCTTCTTCCTTCCTTCTTCTTCTTCCTCCTTCTTCCTTCTTCTTCTTCTTCTTCTCTTCTTCTTCTTCTTCTTCTTCTTCTTCTTCTTCTTCTTCTTCTTCTTCTTCTTCTTCCTTCTTCTTCTTCTTCTTCTTCTTCTTCTCTTCTTCTTCTTCTTCCTTCTTCTTCTTCTTCCTCCTTCTTCTTCTTCTTTCTTCTTCTTCTTCCTCCTTCTTCTTCTTCTTCTTCTTCTTCTTCTTCCTTCTTCTTCTTCCTCCTTCTTCTTCTTCTCCTTCTTCTTCTTCCTTCTTCTTCTTCTTTCTTCTTCTTCACTTCTTCTTCTTCTTCTCCTTCTTCTTCTTCTTCTTCTTCTTCTTCCTTCTTCTTCTTCTTCTTCTTCTTCTTCTTCTTCCTTCTTCTTCTCTTCTTCTTCTTCCTCCTTCTTTTCTTCCTTCTTCTTCTTCTTCCTTCTTCTTCTTCTTCTTCTTCTTCTTCCTTCCTTCTTCTTCTTCTTCTTCTTCTTCTTCTTCTTCTTCTTCTTCTTCTTCTTTCTTCTTCTTCTTCTTCTCTTCTTCTTCTTCTTCTCTTCTTCTTCTTCCTTCTTCTTCTTCTTCTTCTTCCTCCTTCTTCTTCTTCTTCCTCTTCTTCTTCTTCTTCCTTCTTCTTCTTCCTCCTTCTTCTTCTTCTTCCTTCTTCTTCTTCTTCTTCTTCTTCTTCTTCTTCTTCTTCTTCCTCCTTCTTCTTCTCTCCTTCTTCTTCTTCTTCCTTCTTCTTCTTCTTCTTCTTTCCTTCTTCTTCTTCTTCCTCTTCCCTCCTTCTTCTTCTTCCTCCTTCTTCTTCTTTTCTTCTTCTTCTTCTTCCTTCTTCTTCTCAGATCATTTTATCGGTAAAATGATCGGCCGATTTGCCCACCATTGCCGGGAAAATCGGCTGCGAATTTTCCAACATGACTGATAAAAAACCTGTGCAAAAAACACGAAAAACGGCCGACCAATTAACCCACTAACAGTGCGAAAATCGGCCAATTTTTCACCCGTCTATGGCCTGCATTAGAAGACCAATTCTGAAGTTCTCCAGTTAATTAGAGGAGGGTAATTTTTTGTGTACAAGGTATGCAAATTGGGTGTTGGCTGTATGCCTAAATAAGGCTGTGGACTGCCATTTAAATGGGAAGGAATGCTCAATAGCATGGACAACCCGTTCCTCCAGGAATATATTAAGTGCCAAAGATTTTTAATGATTAACCCGAAGGCCAGAGATATGTGAAAAGCATCTCAGGGAACATTTACTCTTTAAACCTGCAGAGAACCTTATATTATACTAATGTGTGTAATCTTTTTATTTCAGGAATGGGAAATGAAGAAGCAGTAAACCATAATTTTTTACAGCGAATCAAAATGGAAAAACTAAAAATCCTTCACATTGTGAAAGTATTTGTGATGGTAAATACACGACGGAAAACGTTTGTCCAAGCTGTGCCCAGAGTAAGCACAAGCACTACGAGTACAAAGAATGAAGCAGAATAAACAGACAGAAGATGAATATGTGTGTCGTAGATGCTATTAAAGATGTATAAAATAATTTCCAGTACTAGAAGATGACTGATAAAACTGAAAGCAGACTTTTGTAAACAGTTGAGATCTAACTGGAATATTCAGACAATTTACTCTACAAGAGACCACTTCATGCTCTAGAATTCGTGGATGGTTTTTGCGCCAGATGGTAAATGCGAGTTAATGGCCGTTAATTACTGCTGAAGCTTAAAAAGAAGACTGATAACTAATATGGAAAACAAATAGTAAAAGCTGAACTAATAGGTTGAAGTTTGGAGATGTAATCTGCTCACCTAAAAGACTAAGTCTGTTTAGTCAGAGCCCCTATGCAAAGTCATTGTTGTACTGCTTCCATTTGTATCAACAAGCTGTGCACTACCATGTAAGGTCTGGTGTGGCTTCAATACTATAACAATGCAGTCACAGAGCTTTTAAAGCTGCTGAAAGGCCCTGGAAGCAGGAGGCATCTTACTGACCACCCACTGATTAAAACCAAACACAAAGGAGGTTTTAGTTTAGTATCTCTACAGTTGTGTAATTTACATATACCTAATCAGGCTTGTGCAGTAAGGAAATGCAGTGAGTGAAGGAACTCATATGTATTAGATTTTAGTTTAACATAAGATCTTTATAATATTAATTCAGTGACTGGATTTTGCAATTTACTCTAGTTGCACAACCTTCTTGAAGGTAATCTTTATGGAGAAAAACTAAAGGAGATATCATGACTGACTTGTTTCTGAATTCGCATGCCTTGAAGCTTTCATCCTGATCCTTGCTTCACTACTTGGTGACACCTTATAAGCACATGAGCAGAAAGTCATCAAGTAGTAAAGCATAGAAAGAAAACGAGTGTCACATTAATATAAAAGTTTATTCCACAGAGAAAGCCAACGTGTTTTGGGGGCCTAAAACTCCCCCTGTTCATCAGGGCTTGTAAAGTGATGGGGGATCAATGGGAAATGGTTATGGGCTGAAATGGAAGAAATGTACAACACTGTTTGAGCTCCTGACATTGTCAAGTGCCTGCACAGTGTTGTACATACTTTCTTCTCTCTGCTCAGTCTATGACAATCACTTTACAAACTATGATAAAGGGGGAATGTTTGCACCTCAAAACACATTCTGTGTGGAATAAACTTCATGATGGACTGTTGATATTAGTATGGTGCTCTCATTCTTTCTACACTTCAGTGACTTCCTCTGGGGGTCCTTTGCCTTACCCCTGTTAATAGACTGCAGCCCCAAAACCCTCAGCGTTAAAATCTATGTCTGTCTGTATAACACATCAAAGTTTGGCGCTCCAAAACTGTACAGAATCTACATCACCATGTAGTAAAGGAAGGATAAAATGGTCATCCTGAATCTTACACCCTCAAATTCAGCAATGACAACTCCCATATTTTTATCCTGACAGATTCCCTCTGAAATGAGCCTGGATATTAATGAGAATGTTTACATTGTTCCAGCAAATATTCATGTACCTTTACAGCTGGTAATGTTGATAAATTGACTGTTTTGTTTGAATGTTGGTGAAAGAATATAGTAGTGTTTTTGTGGAGGATTCTCCAAACAATGATGATTTAGCAAGTGCCTTATTGTATATCTGACTTATGGAACTATGCAAGTGGAAAAGTTCTACTGAGATGAATATTGATGAACTGCTGAGAAAAATAATATTGATGGATAAACCAGCTGGTTACAAATAGTTTGACTTTGTAACTATGGTGCCAGTATTTTATAAAGCACCACTTTAGAGCTGTGATTTGTAGACTATTGTGTTGTATAAAGGGAAACCTTATATTTGAGATGTATACAGAACCAAAGATGAGCAAAGTTGTAAGATTTGAGATACCTCTTGTTGGGTATAATGTAAGTGATAATGAACTGAAAAATGATTCTTAGAGCTAAACTACATGAGCACTTTTCATCTGCGTGCATTGTGAAACAAAAAATCACCCTTGAATTATTCAGGACTATTGTGGCTTTCTGCAGTGAACTATGACCATTCTCTTCGACAAACTTGTAATTATGGAGTCCTTTTATCATGCAGCGGTAAACAACTGGTGCTTAGTTCTCCAGCATTCTCAGAGAAGACAGTTCTCCTCTGAATGCCTTTTCATGAAGCGGTGTAGATCAATTCTCCGAATGAAGGGAGAAGCGATCTACAAACGCTTTCAACGCTGGAAAAACGGCTGCTTTTACTATAATCTCGCAAGATTACAGTAAGAGATCAGTCAAAACACCGTTTACTAAGCAGCGGTAAATTATCACTGCTTCGTTTTGTGGTTCCCCCGATTCTCCAGCTCTGAGCTGGAGAATCTGGAGGGAGAACACAGATCGCCAGTGAAGAGTTGACATCATTCTTTCATATACTGGCCATCTGTGTGTTGAGATGATCAGCGGAGAACATGTTCTCCGCTGATCATCTCTGTTTCCTAAACCGCTACTGATCGGAGATCAGCAATGATCCTCAGGATCGCCGCTGATCTCTGTTTCATAAAAGGAGACCTATATTAGCTAGCTGTGATCACATGCAGCTTACCATGTAAACTGTGTTGTTATGCAGTTAGGTGTAGTTAGGTGTGGACCATATCAACTACATGTAACTGCCATACAATTGTCCAGAGGTGTGAATGGCTGCAATTAATCGCTGTAAACAGTGCAATAGTTATGTTGAAAATTCAGGGTTCTCATGAATGAAAAGTGCCCTTATAGCTTGGCTCCACAATTTCTGCATATTGTGCCACTATTGTACAAAGAGCTGTATGCACTTTACGAATCGTACATTTGTTTTTCAATAAAAGGTTGATGTACATAATTGTGTCCTCTCACTTTTATTTCCTGCTAGTAAAATGGGACAATTCAGGATTTGCAAAAAGAGCATTATGTCTTTCAGTATGGTTGCTACCATGTACATATATAATTGCAAATGATACATGCAAACATTTAAAACATTATTAGCTTTAAGAGATAATTTACATTAAGTTGATATGTTTTATAATGTGTGTACATTCCCTTCATGTTTATTGAAATAAGGCAATACTAGTGTACCTAATCTTGCATTCTGTACATTTGCTTATGATATTTCTTTTGACTTCAAAGACATGTTCACATAATAAATAAAATAAACCTCAGCTCTCCACCCTTTCCTCCTAAACTATTCTAAGCCTAACTCCAACACACAACCACACAAATGTCTAAATACACTATATTGCCAAAAGTATTGAGACACCCTTACAAATCATTGGATTCAGGTGTTCCAATCACCTCCATGGCCGACATGTATAAAATCAAGCACCTAGGCATGCAGACTGCATCTACACACATTTGTGAAAGAATGGGTCACTCTCAGGAGCTCAGTGAATTCAAGCGTGGTACCGTGATAGGTTGCCACCTGTGCAATAAGCCCAACCTTGAAATTTCCTTGCTACTAAATATTCCACCGCCAACTGTTAGTGGTATTATAACAAAGTGGAAGCAACTGGGAACAACAGAAACTCAGCCACCAAGTGGTAGGACATGTAAAATGACAGAGCTGGGTAAACGCATGCTGAAGTGCACAGTGGGCAGAAGTTGCCAATTGTCTGCAGATTCAATAGCTAAAGACCTCCAAAGTTTTTTGTGGCCTTCAGATTAGCACAACAGTGTGTAGAGAGCTTCATGGAATGGGTTTCCATGGCCAAGCAGCTGCATCCAAGCCTTACGTCACCAGGTGCAATGCAAAGCATCAGATGCAGTGGTGTAAAGCACACAGCCACTGGATTCTAGAGTAGTGGAGATGTGTTTCTCTGGAGTGACAAACCATGCTTCTCCGTCTGATTGGTCCGATGGATGTGTCTGGGTTTGGTGTTTGCCAGGGCAGTGGTACTTGCCTGACTGCATTAAGCCAAGTGTAAAGTTTGGAGGAGGGGGGAATTATGGTGTGGGGTTGTTTCTAAGGGGTTGGGCTTGGCCCCTTAGTTCCAGTGATGGGAACTCCTAAGGCGTCAGCATATCAAGACATTTTGGACAATTTCATGCTTTATGGGAACAGTTTTGGGGATGGCCCCTTCCTTGTCCAACATGACTGCGCACCAGTGCACAAAGCAAGGTCCATAAAGGACCATGGATGAGCGCGTTTGCGGTGGAGGAACTTGACTGGCCTGCACGGAGTCCTGACCTCAACCCAATAGAACACCTCTGGGATGAATTCGAGCGGACACTGCGAGCCAGGCCTTCTTGTTTGACATCAGTGCCTGACCTCACAAATGTGCTACTAGAAGAATGGTCAAACATTCCCATAGACACGCTCCTAAACCTTGTGGACTGCATTCACAGAAGAGTTTAAGCTGTTATAGCTGCAAAAGGTGTGCCACCTCAATATTGAACCCTACGAACTAAGACGCCATTAAAGTTCACGTGCGTGTAAAGGCAAGTGTCCCATTACTTTTGTCAATATAGTGTACCTTCTTCGATAGTGTTTGACTCCTGTGTCATTTAAACTCCAGGCTGAAAAGTCTACTCACACAGTAATATCCCATTGGCTTGTATAGATTGTCCCTGTACTGTCCAAGCAAAATACCATTCTAGTCCAAGGGATTTTATTGTGCAGGTATGTGTAAACCACAGAAGATGTTTTCCAGCCACAATGTAAACAATGTGGGAGGGTGCCTTGATTCTAGAAACTAATGTTATGTCCATATCATACACATACCTCTCGCCTTGCTTGGCCACTAGTAATGTAACATCTCATGAGGCAAGGCCAGCGCCGCATGTAATGTACAGCTTTATAATGAACAAGAACAGTCACCAATGTAACGCTTTCAAGGCACACAG